GGAATTCCACCAGACCAACAAAGATTGATTTTCGCCGGTAAACAATTAGAAGACGGTAGAACGTTATCTGATTATAATATCCAAAAGGAATCTACTTTACACTTGGTCTTAAGATTAAGAGGTGGTCAATAAGTTATATAGTTAATATATTTTTTTATTACTGTATAATATTCGTTTTTGTAAATTCTCTTCTGCCTCAAACTGGTATAACTATTGACTTTAGATATTAAAAAGTACAATGATGACGTGTTAGTGGTACACAACTCATCCCACTCTTAGCGATTAAGCTACTTAGAAAGTAACACAATTGGCTCAGCTACAAATGTGGGAACCTTGATTACAACATGTGCTAAAAGCTCTAGTTTATGCTTGCAGGGCCATGAAGATGACTTTCAAAGAAAACATTAACGCCAGCACCTTATAAATTTAATTAGTATTAGTCAAATTATACTTGTATATTTAATTTTTTATTTGTATAAGTATAATGTATCTTTATTATCCGTTGTATTCAAGGAGTAATGGCCAGTTCCAAGCAACTTATTCTTTTCTAATATATTATAATTATTTAGGTAACCATAGACCAACGACGTTTAAAATTAGTCGATTTAAAATTCTAATCGTAAGTTTTGAGCAATTCACTTTGAATGATTGCCGAAGCTTCAACATTCTGAAATTCAGTTAATGAACTTGTTACAATTTCAGCCCTTTCAATTTCGCTTACTTTTTCTAGGTAGACAATAAGCATCTTGCTAAACCTTATGAATTGAATTTTTACATTTTCAATGGTATTTGATTGCAAGCATCCATCTTCTAGTAATTTCCAAATACTGAATAAGAGTTCCATTTCATCAGTATTAATGACCTCGTCGTATTTAATTAATTCTTTAACAAAACCTAAAAGATTCTGATTTATTTGAACTTTTGATCTCCAGGTAATATCGATTTTTGATTTAAATAAGTTGATTGAACTTTTCAACATTAACTTACATAAATCATCATTAATTGGCATGGAGATTGTTTCAAATAGGTTTTTAATGAATAATAACCTTTCTTCTTCTAATTTAACCATTGATATACTAGACTTAACATCTTCCATTTCATCGTCTGAATCTTCATAATAATCATCAGATAGCAAGTCAGTCATTAAATCCACATATGATCCTATTAATTCATTAGAGGGAAATTCTTTTAAGTATTTGCCCATTAGTTTAACCGAGTGCTTTTGATATTCTTTATTTCTTCTCTTAGCTTCTGTCAAAACCACTTTGTTTACTCTGTCGAACAAGTCATTGTCATTATTAATTAACATTTTGGATTTTATGGAAATTGATATGAGCGATTCTAATATTAATTCTTTCCCAGACCAAGATTTTCCCTTGCATGCTTTAATCAAGATTTTGAATAATTCATTCATGATATGTTGCGGAAAAGCCGAAGTTTCTTCAATAGAATTACATAATGCTACTATGGCTTTGCCAATAGTTTTTCTTATTCCATATTGATTAGAATTCAAATAGGTTTCACATATGTCACAAATTTCTTTCATGTACAATTTAATAGAGTTATTTCCAGATGTATTTTCGATCCATTCTCTTTCAAATGGCTGTTTGACCGATTTGACATTATCATGCTTTCCAATAAATGTTAACGGCAAGAATGCTGATAAAACTAATTCAAACTTATCACCAGAATACTTTGACATGCTTTCACTACCAATACCCGCGATTTCTCTACTTCTATCATCGTCTCCTTCAAAGTAAAGTTTCAGCAACACTTTGGAATATTCGACAATTTTATCAATCGATGAAATTCGGCACAAATACCCTGCAGCCGTAGCATAAGATGACGCAATAGTATCGTTCTTGTCATTAAGTTGATTAATGCATATCTTTAATAATTGGTCACCGTAAGGCTTAATAAGTTCAAGATGCTTTACAACTAAACTTACTAGTACCCTACTACCGCATACTTTCGATGGTAAGCCTATTGATTTTTTAATCGATTGCTGCAAGATTCGTACTGTTTTTGGCATTAAAGAATCATCTAATGAGTCTAATAATTTTTCAATTGCATCCATCATTGGTGAATGTCCAAGACTCTGTAATCTTTGCGCATCAATATCATTGCTCTTCATATTATACTTATCTGCATTCAATACGAGATAATTAACCGCTTCAGGCTCTAATGATGACATGAGGCCAATAAAATTATCAAGTAAATCCGGTATAAACGATTTGATTGCTGATCCTCCTACTTTACATAACTTTAATACCGTTTCTAATGCAAACTTCTTAATATCTTCAGCATCTGAAAGTAATCCCTTAGAGCCTAACAAAAATGGTATCAAATTAGAGAGGACTTTCTTTGCTTTGTTAGTAGATGCGCCTGATTTAACGTCGGCTGTTCTTGTCAATGTTGTTGCTAATGATCTCGTCAAGCCAGACCCTTCCTTACGGACACTTTCCTTTATATCATCCATCGCCCTGAAACTCATACTCCATATTTGCTCTAGTCTTTCTTCATACGCTTCCAAGGAAACTGTTTGTAACAAGTCGTTGAGGGCTGCAGTACTTGCTTGTCGAACACGCCATTCTTTGTTACCCATTTCTTTCAATAATTCATTTAGAATTAAATCGAAATTATCATTAACTGTTTTCGACGAATCCTTAATCAATGCATTCCATATGTCATTCATTGATTTAGAAACTGATGAGTTTGGGTCATATCTATATCTGTATAGTTTAGGTATCAACTTACTCGCAAGTCCCTTGTTAGAGGATATCAATTCGTCAAGGCTGGATTTAGATAAAATTGATCCTAACCCAAATGCCATACCTTTTCTTGAAGACCACAAAGCAGACGACTTTGCTAAGGACATAAATTTATAAACTAAACTAGGATCACCAACATCAGAGGCTAAATTCAAAACATCCTTATAAGTTGATACTGAACCGTCGTTTGTCTTCAATAATTCAGGTTCAAATAACTCAGTCTCATGACCAACTGTCCCTGATGCTAATGCCGATGAGTTGGAATCAGTGAAAGATTTTAACAAGCCACGGACTAAAGTGTCTTTTAAATCGTAATCTCCCATCTCATAAACAATACTTAAACCACGAGATGCTGATTCTTGAACTAGCTCATCTCTGTCGGCTAAAAATCTCATGAACGTAAGATGAATTTCCGTTGCACGGTCTTTAACATCACTGAGATGACCGCAATATTGAACCAACGATAACAACCAGATACATCCTGCTTTTCGCAAGGAGGGTTTCGTATTCTTACAAGATTGTAAAGTCATTTTCAAAATAAACGGAAGCCTTGAGGTGTTCACGGGAATATATTCGATAGACTCATCTTGAATATCCATTTGTCTTTCAAGTACTTTAGAATCCCAACCAGCTGCTAGAATAGTAAAAGCTTCTCCACTTGTAAATACATATTCAATCTGTTTGGACACATGTGTATCATATACCAATTCCTCATACTGATCGAGTTGTTCTGTGTTTGTTGTATCATTACAAGCCATTGCAAGATACGATAATGTTAAAACAGACTTTTCATCACACTTTTTGGCTCTTATTTTAATTTCTTCAATGAATTTACTGACACAAGCTGTCACTCTAATATCTACTTCAAGCTTTGGGCCTAAAACACCAAATATGGCTAACTGCGAAATACAATCCAATGCAACGTTATGCGTATTGAGATTTTTAAGAGCATCAACAAGCTTTTCACAAAATATAGCTGGTAATTCAGTGTCAATAAAATGAATTCTTTTGCGGAGAGCTAGTCTAGAAAATAAATAACCAGCCGAAAGCAATTTGTTCTTTGATAACAGATCTTGCAATTCTTCTATTACTAGTTTATTAAGTAATTCATTAACCACTGAATTATCATTAATTGGATGACTTGCAATAATTCCGATCGATTTAGCAATCTGTACCGATGAAGATTCATTTAGTGATTTATTGTTAGATATCAGTAATAAATCAGTCAAAAATGATGATAGTTTTTCAATAACCTTTGGAGGAGATAATGAGATTAGTTTCGTAAATGTGGTACCATAAGTAATATTGGATAATATCTTATTATTATTTCTATATTGACCCACAAAACAATCAAATATGATCGATAAGAATACACTGAAAGAGCTTTCGTGAGACTTAGAAGTCTCATCCATTATAGCGTCTTCTTGAGAAACCAACCTAATTTCTTTTACCAAACAACTTATAACGGTCTTATCAACTTCAACAGCTTTCTCAATTCTTATTAACCATTCTTCATCTAGAACAATGACTGTTAACTTATCAGCAATTGACTGCATAACCAAAGTATGGAGAATAAATTGAATACTGCATCCCATGCAACCCAATAATTTTGCATTCTCTTGACCTTTAATGGTATCCAATTCGTTCTTCAATGTGAACACAATATCAGAAAACGATGGAAATTCTACATTAGAGTTACTTCCTAGCAAATCAGAAGTGGCCTTGAATTCTAGAGTATTAGAAGATTGCAAAATATTAAACCAATGTGGGTGAAGTCCCTTCTGTGCTTCTTCAACAGTATCTGGTCGATTATCCTTCGATGTTCCAAGAATACATAAAACTCTGGCTTCTGAATCACTAAACGGAAAAGCACAATTTATATATTTGATTGCAATGTAGCGACATGATTGTAAGTTTTCTTTTGATTCAACGTTATCAAAGCTTAGATATTGCTTGGCCAAAGATTTGAGTTTATTTTTGGAAGTAGAAGATATATTTGGTAAATGAGTTGTTAACCCAGAGAGCGCATCTTGAATAGCGGATCTCAAATCAGATTCCTCTCCTTCAAGGGACTGAAATAAAAACTCAAAGTACGTAAAATCATGAACTATTAACTCAGGATTAGACTTCAAAATATTGCCTAATGCTTCGTATTGTAACAGTCGTTGAGAAATAGCTGAAGAATAGTTTCTGACACCCGCCATATCTATTCGTGGCCAACCTTCGCCCATTAAATTACTTCTGAGTTGAGAAGCCATATCAATATTAAATTCTTTAACTGCCTCAAGGCTTTGGTTTTCCCCATTATTTTTACTTACCCATTTTATAAAATGAACGGCTGTTCTTTTTAATTTGGGATAATCAGACGCCAATGCAACGCTGGATAGTTTTGATATATCCGTGTGCTGAGCTGCTAGCTTGCTTTTTACTAATAGTGATAAAATCTTTTCTTGCAATACGGGCCTTGCAGGCGGAATAAAAGTTTCAGATGAGCCAAGAAATAATTCTATCAATGAATCAATAAATGACGAATCTTCAAGATTTAAATCAAGTTTTCTAAAAAGAATTTCTGACGGATCACTTATTGAAGATGACGAATCACAAGATGCAATCAATAAGGGAATAGCTATATTTTTCGGTTGAAAACCAGATTTAAGAAATTCTAATAGGCGTATCTTGACAGAATATATTTCCTGTGATGATTTATAGGAAACACCAGCATCTTGTGTAAAAAAAGAGGTATCTTTTATGCTTAAACCAGGAGATTGAAGTGGGTTGGCAGTCGAGTTGGGTTGCAATAGTAAAAATTTGCCTATCATATTGGCGAGAAATTGTTCATCTTGAGGGTATTTATCAAACTGTAGAAACTTGTTCATTTCATTATACTCTTTTGAATCTCGTTCTGGAACTTTCCAAGACTCCAAAAGTTTGCAAAATACATTAAATAATCTTGAAGATACACTTGTAGGATATGTACTTATATGCTCGATGACTTTCGGTACCAAATTCATCTTTTCTTCCGGCGACAACCTCTCAATAGATCTTGATATAAGTAGCAACGAGTACAATCTTACTAATGGAGGACCTTCTCCAGCTGGAAGTTTGGGATTTTTAACCTGATCTAATAATGCATTAACTGGCAATTTGATAGTTCTTGCTGCAGAAATTCGAGGAATTAAGTACTGAATTATCTTCAATATAGCTTGTCTTACTTCAGTATAAGGACTACTTAATTTCAAGAGTAACGGAGCTAGATATAAATTCAATGTTTCTTCGAATTTCTTGTCATCTTCTGCCAATGCTATACGAAGCTCAACCTTATTTACCAAGGCCAATTCATTTTCTGCCATTGTAATTATCAACCTGTATTATTATAATTTTTTCGTTTAAACAATCTACTTATTCAATGTTGTCTTGTTCCATAGGTCATAAGAGAATAATTCATGTTGGATGGCAAAAAAGGTCAAAATCAAAAGAATCGCGCGCAAATATTTACGGAGTGCTACATTTATCTCAAATCGTACGACTTACCATAGGTATTTATATCTATTCAAATTTATTAAGCACTTTTGTATTCCCTTAAAATGACTGGAACTGATGAAGGTGGTAAAGCACCTAACTCTGTAACAACCTTTTTTATGTATTCTGGAGGAGTTAAATCGTACATAATATTCAAAATATTCAAATTATCAATATCTTGCCAGTTCTTCAAAATAGATTCATTTGCATCCTTTCCGGATATCTCTTCATCAATATTATTATTCTTTTGTTTTTGTTGTTTATTTTTATTGTTTAAATTGTTGGTTACTTTAGCCTTTTCTTCGTCGCATTGCTTTATAAATTGCTCCAAAGCAAAAGACTTCTTCTGTGGCGGTCTCTTTGAACCGATATCTTGTATCAAGTCTCCACTATCAGCCAATTCGTTAGTAGTAACCGAGTCTAATTGAACTTTATCCGAAAACTTAATTGACTCACAAAAGGCCAATACAGGAATGTTTCTTGTGTGGCACATCATGGCAATTAAACCAGTACCAACTCGAGAAAAAAGACGGCCATTAGACAACATTGCGTGGGCACCTAAAAACACACAATCAACGTCTTCTAGTATAGTAGATGATAATGAGTTTATCAAAACATACTGCACTTTAAGATGATCTTGGGTAATAGGCTTCAGCTTAAATATCTTCCTTGCAGATTCTGCATCAGAATTGTCGTCTTCTTCTATACTAGGGGAATAGCTCGTATTTACTAGATTAGTTAACAAATTCTTTCCTTCGAATAATGGTCTAGAATCAACAATTATTAAGTTGAATTTCTTATTTTGTTGATTAACACAATATTTAAACAAGTTTTCCAATACATGAGAATGCCCAAAGGTTAAAATTGTGGATCCATTAGTGACATGCTTTGATGCATTTTCAATTATAAGCATATCAGATAGGTCAATTTTTTCTTTGATAAGGTCGTCGATTCTTTGGTTTAATATTTCTTTTGCCTGTTGCTCAGTAGTATCAATCGAGATATGCGAAATTTCTTGCTTCAACAATCTAATTGCATTACCCATAGATACAGACAAAGGACGTGCTGTCTTCAAATATTCAATTTGGTGAGATAAATGACCTGTCAAATGTCTAGTTAAAGTTGTGTTTGTAGGAGTTTGATAATCGCTGATAACTATCTTGAAAGTTTCTAACATATTTCTTAATCTTGAAATAGATCCGACAATTTTGTAGTTGGAGTACTTCAATGTCAATGATAAGATAGCTGGATGTACAATATGAGAAATCGATGGTGAAGATGCATTTCTTTGTTCTCTAGTTTCCAAGTGACTGAATAAAGCTGGAATTTTCTTTTTTGCACTGGCATCTTTAATTAGGGTCTGGTTCAATTGTTTCTTTAAATTTGTATTCGTAGCAGTTTGTTGCTGCTTCTTCCTTTCCATTTTTTGTTGCGCCAATTGGTCCTGTTGCTCTGGAGTTATACCACTTGCTTCTTTTTGAGCAGCTCTTTTGGCTGCCTTCTCTTTCTTCTTTAATTCTTTCAACTCTTTATTTGAAAGTTCTTTTTCTCCAGCTGGTACAGCAGCAGAAGCTTCAGTGGCCACCTTTTCTGCCGGTGGAGTCTTATCAGATACTGACTGCTCACTCATTACAAAAGTTACCTAAATATATTGTCTATATGTATGATTAATGATCTTTGATACTATGATTCAAAAATTTAAAGTCGATGCTAAAAAGTCGTGCGCGCACGATTATAGAGTCTTACTATATTAGTACGTCTATTACAGATAAATGATTAAAATAGTCCTATAACGTTCTGATGTTGATCCTATACAAGTTAGTTACCCTCTGATAATTCACCAAAAACGCCTCTCTTTTTAGTTGTATCATATAGTCTAACAATTTTTTCTTGGTCCTGGTTATCAACTTGAGAAAATGCAAAACCTCTTTGTTTCTTTATTCTCTGAACTTGTCTCACCTTTCTAATGGCCTTTTGGAACTGTTCCATCCTCGGCCTATAGTCTTGAATATTGTACTTCTGTATTTCTTGAACATAGTGGTAGCTTTCCGGACTATAGCTTCTCTTAAAAAATTTCCATGCAAAATCTCTAAGAAGACACAAGACAGAAACTCCAAAGATCATACTCCAAAATGTAAGAGACGGATATGTAGCTTTCAACACTCCACGGTATTCTTGGGAAACATTAATCATAGGAGCAACGGTAGCGTATGCCGGGAATATACCTATCCACAAAAGGAAAGAGCCAGGGATTGCAAGTAAAGTATATTTGGTCCACATTGTAACAACCAATGCAGCCTTTCCCAACGCAGTCAAAGTACACGTCGTAAAAACAGCAGTACCCCATGTCCAATTATTCGCAACCAATCCATTACTCAATTGATCACCATGTTGATAAATAAAAATTGAGCACAAAAATATAATAGCTGAATGATAGAACCCGTTAGCAATCCAACCCCAAAAAATAGGTACGTTGAAGAATTTTTTCTTCTGCCCTAATTGATATAATTGAGGATAACGGTCCAATAATCTTGCATTAACAAACTGATCGAAAACACCCATAACAAATGGGGGGAATACCGTGAAAAAGACATTATAGAAAGTTAATGTCCACGATTCAATGATCGACTGGCCTGAAAAACAATTAGCAAAAACGAACCAAAATTGAGTCATGTATAAAGTAACATTTTTGTAGAAGGAATAGAGAATTGCATTTGAAATACGTTGATAGGACCAAGCACCGTGAACCAATAATAACTTCTTCAAGTATTTGAACTGTCCGATAGAAACATCAGCACTTCTAGCTGCTTGCATACCTTCTTGACCACTAATTCCCACACCGACATGTGCAGCTTGAATCATTGACACATCATTGGCGCCATCACCAATTGCCAAGAGCAAAGAATCTTTCTTCTTTCTTTTAACCATTTTTACAACTAATGCTTTTTGCAACGGTGAAACACGGCAACAGATAACCGCTTTACAGAGAGAACCCAATTGAATGAACATATCTTCTAAATCAGGCTCCAAAGCGAATGTCAACGAATGCCCATCAATAACTAAAGCTAATGAGGATTCCAAAGTATCATCTTCAACATCATACTGATGCTCTTGAATGGCTGATATTTTTTCTTGTAGATTTAATCTTGTATCATTTTTTGTTTCTTCATTTATTATCAAAAGATTCATATCTTCACTTAACAATTTGCACGACATACCAATGTTAATGGCAGTTTCTTGTCTGTCACCAGTGAGGACCCAAATCTTAATCCCTGCACTCTGTAAAGTGTGAATTGTTTCAGGAACTCCATCTTGTAGTTTATCCTCAATAGCCGTTGCACCCAACAAAAACAAGTCATTTTCAATCACTTCTGCAATTTCATCCAATTTCTCGGACCTATCCTCCAAAGAGGTCGAAGCCTCGTAATATCTTGTGGACCAAGATTCATATTGTTCTTCTGATATAATTTTTGAAGCAATACATAACGTTCTCAAGCCTTCGGCAGCAAAACTTTCTAAATGCGCCAAGGTAGCATCAACAAATGGACGACCATCATCTGATAGTCTTTCTAATATAACAGTATCGGCCCCTTTGCAGAATAACCGGATGACACCATCTGGGCACCTAAAAATTGCAGACATCCTCTTTCTGGTTGAGTTAAATTCGCAAATATTTAATAATTCATACTCAGAGTCACCTCCAGTTAGCGTATTTCTAATTGAGATACCTTTAGGTTTACGAATCCTGAATTTATAACCCAAGTCAGCAGCACCTTGGACTAATGCGCCTTCATCAGGCGATGCAGCTTGGTATTTAATAGTATCATCTACGTCATTTGTTTCTGGAATGACTGTATGACACGCACTTAATAGCGTAAAAAACTCATTGATTATAGCTGATTGTTGCAGTGATGTATCTTTCAAATGCTCATGTAAGTTATCGAAACTGTAAAAACCAACTTCAATACCATCGTGTGATTGTACTTGATTATCTTCTGTGATTTCTTCAGTATAACATTTACCACCTATTGAACAACATTTAAATTCCATGATATTTCTAGTCAACGTTCCTGTTTTATCACTAAATATGAAATCAATTTGACCTAATTCTTCTACCAATGATGATGTTCTGACACCAGTAGGGGTATCCGTTTCTGCATAATACATATCGAGATCACTACCTATCATATATGCTTGGTAGAATTTAATAATTTCTACTGTAACAAACATCGATATTGGAACCAAGTTAGAAAACAAAATGCAGTAAGTCAAGAGATTTCTGAAGAATAACGATGCTTTATTAGTTCCTCCTAGCATTAAATAGCCCAATTCATTACTATCAACACTAATTTTGATAACATTACCAATGGATGATACAAATGACAAAAAGATCAAAATAGAAAATAAGGCAATAATCTGTAAATTAATGATTCTTTCAACGTCTGTGCTCTTAATTGGAGCTGCTGTAGCATTACGCATTAATTTAGTCTCATGGCCAGTAAAAACTACAACACCGTGAATCCACTGAGTATTTCTTAATGTAGCACCCCTTAATAATAATTGATCTGGACTTAAAGGAATGTCACCTACTGACCCAAAATTCTTTAAATTACCTTCGTAGGTATACAAAGAAGAGTTCGGTTGTTCAGACAATATTTCAGATCTTGATAGATCACTCAATAAATCTCTGGGGTTTACTAAGTACGATGTCTCAGACTTAGCTTGTTTAATTTTTAAATTCGTTTCACCATCAAGATTTGCAGTCTCAATATAACATAAGCCTTCTGGTTCGGAAGAACTAACTAATAATAAATCCGCTGGAAATGGTTCTTCATTATTGATCTTAACAACGTCACCTACTTTAACTTGGATCCATTTCTTTGAATGAAAAACACCGGAGCTTGGGTCCAACACTAAAACTTTGGTATTATTTAATTCCTTATCCGCACTGGCTCTTTTCAAATCTTCCATTATTTCCTTGATAGCGGAGACTAATAACACAATAGTCAATGTACCAATGGTGGTGTATCTATTTGTCGGTGATACATTTGGAACTTGTTGAATAATGGATGTGAAAAGGAAAAATAAATTAGCATACTTACTAAATTGCTCAAATAAAAATTTGGGTATAAATGTAGCAAAATTATACTTGGTAGTAGAAATATGGTTACCATAGTATTTAAATGAAGAATTTAACGTTTGGTTCATTATGTATATTTGTCTTGGTCCCTTGTTAACCGCCGCTGCATCTTCTGCTCCAGCATTAGATCGAGAAAATTTGGCCTTAGTTTTGCGATAAATCTTACGGATATCAAAATCTGACAGTCCATCATTCAAGTTGTTATCTTTAAATTGTCTTTCTTCTGGCCCATTTTCCATTCCAATATATTCGTCGTTTCTATTTGCAAGTAATCCACCAAATAGTCCCGATCTTTGCTGAGATTTATCATTGGCAGTACTCAATAATGGAACTTTACGTTGACTACTTGAACCGTGTCCTAACGATTCAATAGTGTCATCTCCTTCTATTTCGTCGTCTGATATGATGAAGTTATCTTCGAATGGATTACCAGGCTGAGTATGTTGGTGTTGAGACGTTACATGACTATAAGGACTATTCTCCACGTTTGCATTAAAACTGTTTCTAGTATCCAAATCCAAATCTATAAGGTTCTCTGGCTCTGAAAATGGATTCGTATGATTATTCATATTGTTCATACCATTCTCATCTTTATTCCTATGATTGGAATACGACATCTTCAAGTTTCAAACTTAGGTATAATATACTTATAATTCACTTGAAACTCAATTCAAATCGCTAATTGACTTAATAGGTTATATTTATGCCTTACCGGTTAGGTTGAATTAAACTGGCGCTATTGGCATTCCAATAACTAGAAGTAAATACGTTACCAAAATTTACGATTGGGCTCAGATCAGTCACGTGAACAAATAACTCTTGGGAGGTGTTTGACTCACTCCTACAAGCCTACAAGATGAACCAGAGTTTTGAAATGAACTAAATAACTTATAACTTGTAATTGAAATGGCTGAATCTATTGCAAAGGATGCTAACAATGCATTTTCTCGTTTAAAGACATTGTCTAACGACCAAAGGTCATCTGCGTTACAGAAAATTCATGCTGCATTACAGAAAAACAAAGGTCAAATTATTGAAGCCAATAAGATTGATATGGATAATGCTGTTAAGGGCAACTTGTCCTCATCTTTAGTTAAAAGATTGGACTTATCGAACAGCGGAAAATTTGATACTATGTTGCAAGGCATTTTGGATGTTGCTAACTTGCCAGATCCAGTTGGAAAATGTACCTTAGCTAAGAAGATTGACGAGGGATTGAACTTATATCGTGTTTCAGCACCCATAGGGGTTTTGTTGATTATTTTTGAATCAAGACCGGAAGTTATTGCGAACATCACTGCCTTGGCAGTTAAATCAGGTAATGCAGCTATATTAAAAGGGGGGAAGGAATCATACCAAACCTTCAAGATTATGAGTGATATTGTGAACACGACATTAGACAAGGAAACAGATGTTCCAGGTCCTGCTATTCAATTGATTCAATCTAGAGAGGAAGTTGGTGACTTGTTACTGCAAGATAAATATATTGATTTGGTTATTCCTAGAGGTTCTAACGAGCTAGTTCGTAATATTAAATCAAACACGAAAATTCCAGTTTTAGGCCATGCTGACGGTATTTGTTCTATATATATTGATAATGAGGCTGACTTAGATAAGGCTACAAGAGTATTAGTGGATTCTAAGACCAATTATCCAGCTGGCTGTAATGCAGTTGAACAACTTTTGATTCATCAAGATATTGCAAATGACGACGAAAAATTGAGTAAAATCATAAATTCGTTGATTAATGCGCAGGTAACCTCTCACGTTGTTCCAGAGATCAAATCAAAGCTTACAAACCTCAACCAAGAGTTCATTAAGGATGCAGCGGATGATGCATTTGACAAGGAATATTTATCGTTCGATATTTCGGTAAAGCCTGTTGCTTCTGCAGCGGATGCCATCAGTCATATTAATGCCCATTCATCAAAGCATACAGAAAGTATTATTACTGAAAATAAGGCTACCGCCGAGACATTTATGAAAGCTATTGATTCTGCAGGAGTTTACTGGAATTGCTCGACGCGTTTCGCCGATGGATTCAGATATGGATTTGGAACTGAAGTCGGTATTAGTACAAACAAAATTCATGCCAGGGGTCCAGTTGGCTTGGAAGGTTTGATGAGTTATCAATACCAATTGAGAGGTGATGGCCACATTGTCGCAGACTATGTAGGCGGTGGCGGTAAAAAGGTATTTATCCACGAAGATTTAGATACTAATGTTAATGTGTAATTATATAACTACTATATAAAATAATCAATTATGCGAGACACTAATTATATATAGCTAGCTTAAAATTATCAAACTCTCGAGGAGGATACTCTGGGAAGTATTTTATAATCCTATCAACCCTCTCAAATCTATCCTTGTCACCACATATCAATTCCAAATTACTCCATTGTTTGAGGGTGAAAAAATCGGTCAATTTCTTAATCCATGCCATTCTGGTATCAATACTTACCAAATCGTCATCTACAACAATAGTCTCTCTTAATCTCGATCTTATAAACCCCAAGTTCTCAACCGCTTTATTTAAATCAATGCCTTCAAACTGCTTTGCAATATTATCTTTAATGAGTTTCAGGAGCCTTGGCGACTTGCCGTTGGTCGAAATCATTATCTGCAAATTATCTTGGTTGAACATGCTTCCGAAGTAAAAATCGCACAAAGGAGGTTTATCAGCTATGTTAACAGGCAATCTCAAAAACTTACACTGATAGTATATTTTAGTAGACAACTCGTAGTCATCTATACAACAGCATACATTTGCAAACACCTCGTTCTTCACCTGGCGGTCTATTTCTTCATAATGGTCACTACTGATCAAATCATAAACGAAACTATCTTCTCCCCCAAGATCAAGTTTGGTTTTTTCGTACATAGCCAAGTCTGACGACTCATAATCCCTCTCCACCAACTTATATATATATCCTTCCTTATTTAACTGCAAAATTTCTGCATTAATGCCTTTCTTGCTAGTACCCCCAATTACTGTAATCTTTGCCTGTGCTCGAATCAAATGGTGTATTCTGCTTAATGCAACATCTCCTCCCCCAATTACTAAACAATGTTTGTCCTTTACCTGCCACGCTAGGAGTAACGAACCACTGGGTTTTGTTTTTATATCTGATCCCATATTTATCGTTATTAAGTGTCAAAAGTATGCCTAGTGTCTCGACTGTTGCATATTCAAAGTTTAATCTTCTCGATACTATGGTTGCGTGCGTGAGAGTGTGCCTAGAATGCCATCGCAGGTCCACTAACACTATTGCACGTGCTTGTTTTGTAGCGACTCATCGAGATAAATTCTCCTAATTGACATTGCGTGCCGCTAATGGCCGCTGTTATTACTGGAGGTCATCGATTCTTCATAGGTGACCCCCGCTATTGTCTCGAATCAGTACAGGCGCCATACTGCAGAGGGTCCAAAAATGCACTAAATTCTCCCTAAAGGTTTTTGGGTTTACCGGAAGAACCCCCTAACGGGTATACTCGGCTTTATTGTTATTGGATTCTCTCAACGGAACTCAGGTGTAATGACTCAGTAATCGAAAGTACATACATTACTAGGACCATGTTGTTTTTACCAATAAATGGTCTAGTTGCAAGTATTATCGTCGGTGGTTTAGAATCTATATATACAGTTTATGTAGAAGAGATCGTGACTCGCCAGGAAATCAAATATACCTAATATTGTGATCCTATGGCTTACGCGGTAAATATTACTGTTTAAGAAAATTACACCGTTGAACTGTGCGTGGGTGTAATTTGGAGTCGACGATTGTTCTAGTAAGAATTTTTATTTATTATATCATTAGTCTTACAATCAAGAAAGTTTATTCGTATAAACAGATATATTTAATTATATTCGTATCATCTTAACAATCAGCTTCCTGAATTATTTATTTACTCGATTGTTTCAGTGATTATCATAATTTGTCTCAGTTATCTCGGAGAATAATCAGAAGAGTAACGAGAAGAAAACCAAAAATACATTTGTGGGGCCAATTGATTTTACAAGTGAATAGTTCAACAAAATTAAGGCTTGTTGGAATTTGGATAGCCATATAGAAGAGACGAAACCTTGATTTATTGAGTCATCTATCAGATAAGTGTAATGAGTTCGTTCAATAGATCGGAAAGACGAAAATCTGTGGCAGAAAGAAGACCTAGCGTGCCATATATTGCACCGGTCATTCCACACTTGGCAGGTTTAGAGAAGCCACAAGAACACAGCTTGAAAATGGACCACTGTGACGTGTTGATTATGGGTACTGGATTGGTCGAGAGCATATTAGCGGCTGCGTTATCGTGGCAAGGCGTTGAAATATTGCATATCGATAACAAACAATACTATGGAGATCTGACTTCGACGTTAACTATAGACCAGTTGAAAAAATGGTGTATGGAAGTCAATCAGGGCAAGATACAACATTTCCATGATGCACAATTCTATATGCCTGGAGGAAAACTCAAAGATCAATTTCACAGCAAGGATTATGGTATTGACTTGACACCTAAGATCATGTTTGCTCAATCAGACTTGTTGTCCCTTTTAATTAAGTCTCGTGTTTATAAGTACTTGGAATTCCAAAGTTTAAGCAACTTCCATGTTTTCGAAAATGATAACTTTAATAAGAAACTCTCAAACACGACGAAAGAGGATATTTTCACGGATCAATCTTTATCGTTGGTGACCAAGAGATATCTCATGAAATTTTTGAAATTTGTTTTACAAGATAATAGTGATCCGAACAAGAAGAGTATGTTACAGGATAACGCTAACGTTCCAATCGGCGAGTTTTTAACTAAGAATTTCAACCTTGAAACGCCCCAAATTAATGAGTTAGTTTATTCGATTGGTTTATGCGCTAAGACAACAACGAAAACACCAGAGGCGTTAACTAGAATCAAGAGATTTTTGGTCTCATTTGATGTTTATGGTAACTTCCCGGTGATGGTCCTGAAATATGGTGGTCCTGGTGAAATTTCACAGGGATTTTGTCGTAGCGCTGCAGTTGCTGGTACAACTTATAAGCTAAACACTACTTTAGTTGATTATGATCCACAACTGAAAATTGCAAAGTTCAATGATGGAAGTAATATCAAGATCAACGAAAAGGTTATTGTATCACCCACTCAAATGCCAAAGTTTTTGCAGCAAAGTTATAATGAAATAACAGAAAACTTAAAACCTTATAACGTGACTAGATTAGTAACAATTGTGAAAAACGATTGTAAAGAATGGATGTCAGAACAAGAAACATCTGCCATTGTGGTATTCCCACCAAACTCCTTACCAACTAGTAACCAGCAAAGTGTTCAAGTTATAATACAAAATGGGGGTTCTGGTGTATGTCCCGAGGGACAAGCAGTTTGGTTCTCTCATAGTAGTGAGCAAGACTTGAATAAGGCAAAGCAAGACTTGGAATGTGCACATGAAAAGATGGAGTCAGCTATATTGCGTGAATCGTCCAATAATTTAGATGAAGTACTAGACGATAAAGACTTCGTCTTGAGTGCCCAAGGTACCCCTGTGTTGGTTAACTCGTTCAAATTAGGCGAATCGTTGCAAAACTTTGTTCCTGAGGAGAAATTAGAAATTGTTTGCAAGCTCGGGTACGTCCAAAAGACTTTCGTAAAGCCTGACTTATCAAATGTGATAGCGCCAACACCAGAGAATAATGTATCTTCTGCTTCCATCAGCGACGCCGAAGATATTATATTCTCAAATATGCCATCGTCTGAAATCAGTTACGATGGTATAATCGGTGAATGCAAACTGATTTTCTCTAGAATTACAGGATCTGACGAGGATTTCTTCGATGTTGATTTTGAAGACGAGGACGACGACTACAACAACCACCAAGCACCAAGCACCAGTCCCAAAACTACTTCAGGTGCCAACGCTGCCAGTAATATTGACTCGCCTATGTCGGACAGTGTACTTGATGACGAAGGGCATCATGAACCATTCGGAGCTGACGAAATGGAATTATGATCCAATTTAAGAGTCTTTGATTATTTGTCGTTGTAATAACTAAGACTTTGTTGGTTAAGTCTATCTTCTTTTTATCGTTATTTCCCAGACCTTATTGGCACTGTCTTGTTCACTTCTTGTTATCGTTAATACGAACATTAAATTTGTCGTCTCTTTATCTGGACCTATTTATTTGTACTCTTCATAATTAATCTACTAATGTCTAATATGCCTACAACGTGTACTATATATACATATATGATATTAATCTAATAAGTTAAATATTAGATATAGCTGTATATACAGCAGTTGTTTTCTATCATAACTACTATATTGCAATGCATAAATCATCACTTGTATATTGCGGATGTGTTTTAGCACTAGGGTTGAAGCCCCAAAGAACAAAAAAAACATTTTGTGTAATTTTCCTTTTTTTTTCATACCGTTCATGCGCTAACCTCAATACTGAAAAATTTCCGAGCGCACCTCTTTATAACAGTTCTTCTTGTTCTTTACTGAGCAGAAAATCCCTGTCGAAGAAGTCTAATTATATCAAATATGTCTGACGTTGAAGAACAACCAGTTGTCGAAGAAGTTGCCGTTGAACAACAAGAATCCGGCTCTATTTCCATCGAAGATGCTTTAAAAGTTGTCTTAAGAACTTCTTTAGTTCACGATGGTTTAGCCAGAGGTTTAAGAGAAGCCTCTAAGGCTTTATCTAGAGGTGAAGCTCAATTATGTGTCTTATGTGACTCTGTTACCGAAGAATCTATTATTAAGTTAGTTGAAGCTTTATGTAACGAACCAGAAGAAAAGATCCCATTGATCAAGGTCTCTGACGCCAAATTATTAGGTGAATGGGCTGGTTTATGTCAATTAGACAGAGAAGGTAACGCCAGAAAGGTCGTTGGTGCTTCTTGTGTTGTTGTCAAGAACTGGGGTAACGATTCCGATGAAAGAAACATTTTATTGGAACACTTCTCCCAACAATAAATTATTTGATAATTTTTAATATTATTTTATATATTGTATAGTTTATTGTGCATCTTAAAAAAACCAAGATAGTGAATGGTTAATATAATTTTTTACTATTTTAATGCTGTTAAATGTAGACTAGTTTTAGTTGTATCATCTTGTAAAATGTATGGATGTATCCGTTATGTGCGAATCGCTTGTTGCACTATAATTTAATTCTTATCAAAATAAATATACATCTATATCAAAGGAAGAGCTATCAATAATGTCTAATGAAGATAGACTAGCCAAAAAGGAGTTCAGGAAACGAGGGCCAGGGTATGTTTAAATGATATAGCTCAATATGGAGAGGAAATAACTAATATATTATTTTATAGAAAGAGAAATGTACAGGCAGACACGCTAAAAATTGTTCCAACAGCATCTAAAACTGCAAGAAGGTTGTCAATAGAAAGAGAGTCAAAGAAATTGAAATCAGCACTCATAAACAATGAGGATATTAAAGACTTGCCTAGGTTTAGGAGTCGTATGACAATAAATTCTGAACGTATAAACGGTTTGAATACTGACAGTCTACTGCCTGATGGAACTCAAACGACGTATAGGGCATCCATAGACGAATCAGATTCTTTGCTAGTACGTAATAACGGAAACACATTTTCAAGTGGCGTTAAAATTGAAAGGGACGAAGATGCTAAACGCATGAAAGATTCGACTCAAACAGAAAACGAGGATACACCAGATGATATTCAATTCGGAGATGAATTTGACGATGATTTTCATGAAGATAACATGTCTAATACTAATCCCGCACAGGAATTGAATCAGGAGGATACTAAGAAACCAGAAAAAAGGGGTAGAGGTAGGCCTAGAAAGATAACCAAGACCGAAGACATTGCAGCTACTCCTAAAATAAAGAGGAAGAGAGGACGGCCACGGAAAGGTACAGAAACTACCAGTATTACCGAGAATATGGCTGTAGATACTCCGCGAAGATCAGCTAGGATTCTTAGAAAGGACACTCCTAGTTACAGAATCGAGAAGGATCATGACGAAAAGACAAGTTCGAAACCCATTCAGCGCAAGCGTAAAACTTTGAGGCCGAACATATATGAGAATAAGAAACCCGTGTCGCTTGCAAAAACAAGGCCCAATGAAACTCAGAAACCGATGTATATTAACACTGAGCGTATAATAACAAGTCAGAATCGAGACAAACGATTGAGAGTAAATACATTGGACGTAATCAAACATTTGATCGAAAATTTCGATCCAGTAAATTCGGACTCACAGATATTAAATGAACCTTTAATCCATAATGAGTTTAAAAATCATGTTTTGCATCATTTAGGCTACTTATTTGATGCTCATGCTAATATAAATGATATTTCACAAGATATAAATGAAATTCAAAAAAAGAAGACGCAACTAAGAAATAAAATATTTGAATTAAAGAAAAGTCATACAGGCATAGGTTCACAATTGAATAAAATGAGAGGTAATTATCAAAATGAGAGGTCAAAATTCAAAAACTTTAATAAGATGACAAATAAATTACAATCCTTATCTAGCACAGTAGGTGGATATAAATCAGGCAGTCTGAATTCTGCAGAAATACCCGAACAAAACAACAGGCACAAGGGAGAAACGATTGACAAGGACATATTTACCTTAAGTAAAGTTGTTAATCCTAACTCTGGCATGTTTAAAAAGTTAATCTTAATTAATAAAAAGTTAAGTAAGATAGAGAAGGAGCTATCATAATAGTAATTAAACGCATATAATTAAAATTTAATTACAAGCTATAAATATATATATATAAAAATATTAAAGACGAGTAGTAGAAATAGATAAAATCTGAAATAGTAAAACAATATAAAGTAAAAAAGTACAGCATGTTTATGCAGAAGTTGAATGTGATTATATTAAAGTTATTCAATTCTATAATGCGTCATGAATAAGTATAGGCTATTACGATAGATTGAACTTCCTGCTGCAAAATATCATTGGTCTAACTTACTTAGCTATCATCAGCAATTAAAGCCATAATCATTCTGTATAAGAAGAAGAAGAACATCAATAAGTGGAAACCTAACTTGATGAATGATTCCTTCTTATGCTTAGATAAAGTTCTGAAAATTTCTGTCGCATCCAACAAGTGATTCTTATTTAAAAATTTGTTGACGTTAAATGCAAGTAATGGCAAATTCAATAAAAAGACAAACCAGTATCCATTAACCAAGAATAATGCAGTAATAAAAGCATGTAAACCAGCTTCTGGGATGAACCATGGATTTAATTTGTTACATAATTCAATTGGATTAATATAATCACATTCTAAATCAGAATACATGATAGTAAAGAAAACTTGTGCAAACAAGTTAACAGCGTTAACAACAACAGCTAAAATAAATAACCTATTTTGATGTTAGTATCTTCAAATTCTGAAAAATGTCACACTAGTTATTCAAAACGAGAATATGAGCCAGTTTAAGTATCCATGAACTAGGGAAAAAAAAGTCCTTTACATACCAACTTTCGCCTGACATTCTTTGATTAGACTAATTTAAAATTTGAATACCCAATTATTGATTAGATTGATTGATTAAAGGATTATTACTGCTGTAGATGCGATGAAGGAAATGAAAAGTATAGATCGAACAAAAATTGATTTTTTTGATTGCTTACCTAATTAGGCAATTACTACAGAAATTTATTGCTGAAATCTGTCACACTATGACATTACTTTTATTGGTTGTTGTCCGACTGTAATGATATGGCTTTCGTGTAATAATCTATAAGACCTATAATTGTCTAAATTTATATATTAAGAAATTGTCTAATTTTAGGAATTGGATGAGAGTTTTAATTATTGATAGATGATCAAGGTTTGTGATAAGCAGTAATGGATATGTATAAATAAGAAATGGCAAAACAGTAGACATAGTATTCTGCCATATTAGGCTCTGATATTATTTAGTGATTTCTTTTATTTTTTTACATTGAAGGTATTTATAATGGGATTTATTTAGCTATGCAATTTATGACTGAATTAAGCCTGGCACATCCTCCAATTTAGACTTATTTGCTAATGAAACTCTCTTATTGTATGTTATCATGCCTCCATCTAGTTTTCTTAGGTGGTTGAAGAAATTTATCAATAAAGTTTCATAATTATATCTATGTTTTGCTTTTTCCAGATTTGCATCGGATTTCAAATGAGAGAGAAACTTAGAATCTCTTTCAGACCAATCTTCATGATTTCTGGTCAATGATTCATAGTGGATTGCAAAGCTCTCAATATCATCTAATGTTTCTAATTGTATCGGTGCTCCCTCAGTCTTATTACCTATTTCCAATTGTAAATAGTCCAATTCCTGAGGGTTAAAAACATAAGGGTAAACCAATATGTTGATAGGATTTAATCTTAAATCTAATATCCTCAAGGTATTTCTTACACCCTTTAAGCTCTCAACCACACTCCCTATTTCTCTCACGTTGTTACTCACCATATATAACCGCTTTATGTTTTGCATTTTTGATAACGCTGAAATGTTGCTTAAATTATTAAAATTTAAATTCAATTCTCTGATATTTGGAAATGAAGATGCAAAATCAGCTGGGAGTTTGGAAAGATTCATTGCTGATAACACTAAAACATTTAAATTCAAGAATGGTTTGTAATGAATATTATGATTTAATCCATTGCCATTTGGATTATTAGGAAATAAATCAAAATGAACATTACCAGATAAATCTAACTTCAGTATATCGCTAGATCCGTTCAACATATTATTTATCACATCAGAATTATTTTGAGATTTGCAAGAGAGTTCTTCCAAATATCTCAATTTCTTGAAATCAGTAACCACGTTTAGATTATTCCCATCAATCCTTAGACATCTTATAAATGGATATGGTTCAAGATTTAACTTCTGTAAGTTATTCAGTTTAAGAAGCATTTTCTTCAAGTGTGAATGTTTCTCCAAACATGAGATATGCATAATTTGGTTTTCATTTGCGTTCAATATTCTTAACCTGGGTAAACATTCTAAACCGCTTAATGACTGGATACTATTCTCTGAAATGTTTAGCTCTTGTAAGTTTACTAGTTTAAAGTTTGCAAAATCAATTTCTCCCATCAAATCATTCTGAGAGACATCGACTCTTGTCAAATTTTCTAATTTTCTGATGCCATCCATAGATACCAACTTATTATTAAGCGCGGTCAATTCCGCTAAATGAATATTGTTACTCACGTTTGAAAGATTAGTCAATTTATTAAATGATACGTTCAAATGTTGTAAATCATGATATTTGTTGAAAGATGTCATATGTTCAATATCATTATGAGAGACATTCAAATTAAGAACCCTCTTAGGAAGTCCATCTAAAAATTTAATATTATTATCTGAGAGATCCACATTATTCAACCTCGGAAGAAACTTATTCAAATCTTTTATACTGTCCAATTGATATCCTGTCATAGCGATAGCTGTTACTTTCTCCCAGTTAATAGGTCTGAAATTTTGTCCAACTGATAAAATGTCAGTTATAACGGCTACCAATTTCTTCTTTGTTTGTGAAAAAGTCATATCATTAATTTGAGATATATGAGTAACATTATTCAATGATGGGGACTTGTCTTCGTCTTCGTGATTTGTTTCATTTATTTCCTCGGTCATGTTAGGTAAATTAAATGAAACCTCCAATTTACTATCATTATTTCTTCTGCCAATTTTTCTAGATTTAGTCGAAGGTTTACCCTCACCAAGAATATTCTTTGTGTTGTTAGGTTCTTCTCCCTCTTCGTTTTCTTCCGAGCGTGACAACAAATCTTCAATCGAATCTAAACTGCCGTGATAATGATTTTCTTTGTCATTTGCTATCCATTTCTGGTTCTTTGTATCAAGAATCATGTTATCATATGCTACAGGTAATTCAATTCCGGGTTCTACTCTACCTCTAATAATGGGATGTTGGTTGCCACTCTTCTCTTTCAGTTTCAGTATCGGAGAACCATTCAAGGAATTATTGTTTTGCAACCGCAATTGGGATGCCCGTTTCCACTTGATAAAATCTTGCATTTGACTCAAGTCATCATTAGTAAAATCAACATCGTCAATGACTACTTCACAACCATCTTCTTGGTTTCCATTACTAGCTGGTCTTCTTTTTAACTCATTTCTCAACCGGGTATTTTCGTTCTCCAATTTTTGAATATCAGCTTGATATGCATTCACATTAAGATCTTTCATCATTCTTTCCAATTCTTCTAGTCTGTTTGCAAAATATTTAATTTCGTTTGGATTTCCTTCTGATTTCTTACTTTGGTTTACGTTTGGTTCTTCAAAGTTTCCATCAGAGTTCCTATCTTCTGTATATCCCTCATCAATTGTATATATGCTTTCGTTCGAATGAGTTAATTCACTTTGCAATGCTTGTAAATTACGTGGTGATAAATTTGAAAAACTGGCGTTTTCATTATCTTTCACAGAATTGCTTTGATCAAACGAAGTATACTCATTTTGATGAATTTCAGCATGACCTCCATCTGTATTATATTGTGGAAATTCTGTGCTTTCTTGTTCTTCAAATCCACTTGTAAAAGATGAATACTCATCTTCGGACGTGATTTTATCAATATCATTAACTTTAATATTTTTAGGTGTTGAAGTAGCTGTAGATTGAGAATTTACCGCCGATGATAATGAACGCTGCCTGCCATCCACATGGCTCATATCATGCGTGATGTCTTGGTTCATTTTAAAGCCCCTCCTTTGAATATTATTGAATATATTATTTGCATTTTGTAGAAATTGTTCTTCTGTATAAGTTCCAGACTTTGTAAAATTCTTAATTCTTAGGTGAGGTTCTTCGAGTGGATTTGAGGAGTCTGGAATTACTTCACCATATTTATTCTTCTTATTCTCAACACTTTGCTGTGGTTTCATTACAGATGAGGGCGTCTTGGTGTTAATTTTTTGAAGAAGATCAGTTAATTTTCCCTTAGTAAAAGTATTATATTTATCTCCAAATAATTTCAATGGTGATTCCGGGTTTGGGACATGTAACAAGAAATCGTTAGGTTTGCCTTTACCCTCTCCCTCTAAAATATTCTCCAATTGAATTATCTGATTCTTTGTTAATGCGGTACCACTTTTATTTGATATTGATGCCATGGGTGTTGATAAAGTAGATGAGGCTGAATTATTGTTTGGTTCCGATTCGTGTTCTCTTTCAGCTTGTACATATCTACTACTATATGCTGATTTATCTATGTTTGTACCTTCTTCTTTCAGACTGTCCATCGAGAGGAAAATATTATGCAATTGAGGTTGTGATTTTCTATTTAACTCGTATTCCTTCGAAGCCTTTTTCCACATAGGGGTCTCATTCGCCGTAGGCTTTGAATTGTGGATCATTGTATTAGTAGAAGAAAATTGTAGATTCATATCCAAGTCCCGGTTTGAGTCTGGTTGTCTTGTAATTCTAACCGAAGATCCAAAATCTCCTTGGTCCATGGTTTCGAGGTTTTGGATTTCAAAAGACTTAGGTGGTACCCATTTATCAGCAAGTTCCTCCGGCATCCAGTCTGGTGTAGCATTAAAATCCGCGTTATTCAAGGAATTGTGTTCTTGTTCTTGGTCGTGTTTTATAGTGGAAGTCTTCATGGGCGGTGTATTGGAATTATGCTCCGAATAATCTTTGTGCTTAGTAGGAATAGGGATAGAATGCTCTTCTACTTCCGGAAGACTGTCCAGTTGAGAAACTCCTAGCTGGGATTTAGTTTTCGCATTAGGATGCGACTTGTATTTGAATGTGTTCGGTATCGATATTGGCGAATTCATCGAATTCATGCTATACGAGTTGCTGTTATCGTATTTGAAATCAGAATTGGGCAAATATTTCAATTTGTTCTGATACGAATTATTGCCATTATCATGCCCATTATTATCGCTATTCTGTTTATTCTCGTTATTTTTATTTACCCCAGTTACGTCTTTCTTGCCATTTTCTTGTTGGCCCGAAAATGTCTTCACGGGCCCCATCTGGTCTGAAATTTGGCTCTTATCTGTATGATCTGATTTATTGATTTGGTCCATCAAACTCTTATTAATGAAATGAAAAGACGGCTCGTGGCTGTCGTTTATCAGATACTTCTCCTCTGGCTCCTTGTTGGATTGGTCCGTCGTAGATGGCAAAGTAGATGTATCTCTATTTGCTTTATGATCACTGAGCTCCGTATCTCTTATGAATCTGCGGATATTCATCGCAGTAGAGCTTTGAGATGTGGAAGTATCCAGTACAAACCTACTCATAACTCACAAGTCTAACAATAAATAGTCTCTCTAGCAATGACTCCAGGAATACTAAAGGAATACTAATTGTTCTTCAATTACTAAATGATAGCCGCTGATACTATTGTTTATTTTTTTACAGATCAAAACAAAAACTGGGTCAATACGTATAACCTGTAAATCAAATTATTTTTACAGTTTGATGGTTTTAGATTTTAAATTAGTTAACCAAGTAAGAATTGTAAGCAACCAATTTTCAAGGCATTAAGTTGATATAAACCTAATTCTTGAATCAATTAGTTTAATTCTACCTCACCAAGCTAATTTTTTTATTACAGTGTTTTAACCGTCAAGTTTTTTCATTTTGATTTATTCTTTTTAGTCAACTCGTTGCAATTGTATACCTTGCTCCATTACGAATTAATAGAAAGTCGCTAGTTTTTTAAAACATCAATTGTTGAATATAGGCTTTTATTTTGATACATAATTGGATTCTTTTTGCTTCTTAGGTTACTCAAGTTAATTTCGATTGCATTTTTTATCAATTTTCATAGAAATTGGAGTTGTTTAGTGCATACCATTTAAAAACTTGGTTTCAGAGCAAAATTAACTCATACCACTATTCCGTTTAATTATTGCTCGTGGGTGCCTTAACTCTTGCATCAAATATTGACTGATTCGATTTTACATTGTTCCATTGATTCCCAGCTTGCTTTTCATATTTCCGTTTGATTTAAGTGTTCAATAAGGTTGAGCAACATGTCTTTTTTACAATCGAATAAAAGCGAATATGTTTCAACTAATGCTGAAACTGGTCGCGATCCCTCTGTTGGTGTTGATTCTGAAAATGCAGGCGTCAACACGTCTGCGGTTTCTAACCCTAGTGTTCTGTCGAACTTGCACGGTGCTGCCGCGCCATTAGAACAACCTGCAATAACATCAAGTATTGCTAGTCATCAGCACCAGCAAGAACAAGAAATGCTATCAGGATTTGCTATACCTAGGCCGCCTGTGTCTACACAACAATCGAGCGTAGCAGCCGAAAAAGAACAAGGATCTAATACAGGACAGCCTGATTCTCCACGTACATTATGGATGGGTGACTTAGACCCATGGCTAGACGAAGGAGCTATAGCTGATTTATGGTGGCAGATATTGCATAAAAAGGTAACTGTTAAGATTATAAAACCTAAAACCCCTAAATCAGAAAATAATGCGCAAGGCCTCTCACACTCTGGTTATTGTTTTGTTGAATTTGAAAGCTTCGATGATGCTCAGCAAGCATTAGGCTTAAATGGTCAATTATTACCAGATGTAGCTATGCCATCGCAACAGCAATTTCCTAATAACCCGGATAATCAGAAGAAATATTTCAGACTCAATTGGGCTAGTGGTGCAACGTTAAGTGCCCCTATTGTTCAGACTCCTGAATATTCGTTATTTGTTGGAGATTTATCAGCCTCTACAACTGAAGCACATTTATTGGCATTTTTCCAGAAAAGTTTCCCAACATCGATTAAAACAGTACGGGTTATGACAGACCCTGTTTCTGGTAAATCAAGATGCTTTGGGTTTGTTAGATTCACGGATGAACTGGAAAGGCAGCGGGCATTGGTAGAAATGCATGGTGCTTGGTTTGGTGGGAGACCATTGAGGGTTGCCTTAGCAACTCCAAGAAACGTAGGAGGAAAGCTTCGTTACCCTAATATTCCAAGTCCTAATTTCTATAATCCTGACCAGGGAAGACAAATGTTTATTCCGCCTAATGCTATGCAAATGGGTGGTTCTCCATTTGGATTTTTTGGAAATCCACAAATTCCACCTCCACCACACCATCCTCATCAGGTACCTCCACCACAATCATATCCAAGCAATATGCCTCCTATGGATATGCAACCTACGAAAGAATATATTGACGATCGTGATCAGAATGTTTCGTCAAATGGTCAGCCTAACGTTGAGCAACTTAGATCCCCGAATTTACAGGGCGCTCAGCATGGTCAGCCATTTACTGACCCTAATAATACTACAGTATTTGTTGGAGGTTTATCATCTGAAGTTACTGAGCAAACCTTGTTTACGCTCTTTAAACCGTTTGGTATAATTCAACAAGTGAAAATTCCACCAGGAAAGAATTGTGGTTTCATTAAATATTCCTCCCGTGAAGAAGCTGAAGAAGCAATTGCGGCTATGCAAGGATTTATTATTGGAGGCAATAGAGTTAGATTAAGTTGGGGCAGAGTTTCGATGAATAATAAGAAGTACCAACAGCAACAACAACAAGTAGCCCAAGCTGCGCAAATGCAAGCTGCAAATGCATTATCTATGGGAATGGATCCAGCCAGTGCAATTGCTGCAGCTGCTGCTGCGGCGGCCGCTGGTGGATATCCTCCCCCAATACCTGGAACACATGGACATTCGCAAAATGCTGGTATGCCAATGATGGGAGGCATGCCACCAATGGGTCTTCCTCCACATATTTCTATGCAAGCGCATGGTAATTTGCGTTCTCCTAATCCTTCGAATATCCAGAATTACCCTACATCAAATGAAGATAATGATGCTTCATTCGATAAATCTGACGTTGATTCAAATGAAAGACCTTCTAATGAAGGCTATGGCAGAGAGCATGGAATTGCGCCACCCCCATTCTACATGGGTGGTCCACCTGCCGATTATCACATTCCACATCCTGGATCCCAACAGGCACAAGATGAATTGGCAGATTCGATGGCTCATATGAATTTGAGTGGTGAGAATCATGATGCAAATGCTCATTCAGAAAACTGCATGGCATACCAAGGAGACCACAGGTTTATGATGCCTCCAATGTTCAACGGAGGATTTCCAATGCATGATCTTCAATACCAACAATTTATGCCACCACAGCAGCTTGACCCTCAAGCTAGGTACCCACCTCAAGATGATCAAGCAGCTGCTGACGATAGTACAGATAATGCTAAGAAAGATGATAATGATAGTAAAAATGATAATAATGATTGAATTTCTCAGAGCTCTACGTTCGACCTTAAAAGCAATTTTATATACCAAATGTTTGTGTTTTCTTCAATATTCCGTTTATTTCACTTCACCCATCCAATGTTATATCGCATGATTGTTATTATATAGTTCAATATTTTACTGTTTAGCTCTAGACTAATTTATTATAAGCTGTTCGTTTCTTGTTACATACGCACCCACACTTTAAGTTATGCTCCACAAACGTAGTAGTTCGCTAGTCATCTACAACTCCATAAACTTAAACATAACCGTAATATTTAAACACTAAAAACGACTCCTACGAGTCCTAACCTAAAAAAACTAAAACTAAACACTTATCAGAAGCGAAGAAAACCAAAATCACCCGAAAGAAAACCAAAAATTGAAATCCCAGTATAACCTTCCGCATCGCCAATCTACGATCTTTCACCTCTCAATCTTCTAGCTAATTGAATATCCTTCTTTTGAATGGTGACTCTCTTGGCGTGGATAGCACACAAGTTGGTGTCTTCGAATAACGAAACCAAGTAAGCTTCCACTGCTTCTTGCAATGCACCGATAGCCGACGATTGGAATCTCAAATCAGACTTGAAATCTTGAGCAATTTCTCTAACCAATCTTTGGAATGGTAACTTTCTAATCAATAATTCAGTAGACTTTTGGAATCTTCTGATTTCTCTTAAAGCAACGGTACCTGGCTTATATCTGTGTGGCTTCTTAACACCACCACTGACTGGTGCCGATTTTCTGGCGGCCTTCGAAGCAAGTTGCTTTCTTGGGGCCTTACCACCTGTGGACTTTCTAGCTGTTTGCTTTGTTCTTGCCATTTTTATATATATATATATTTAATTACAAGATTAATAATGGGCTAAAGAAGATGAAAAGAAAATTTACTTTAAAAAATCCGAAAAGGGGGTGAAGGTCTCATCTTTGCTGAAAGTGGCAAAGTTTTACTGACGTTGGGACGATTGCGCAAATATCCGAATATTGAGAAGCACATTCGCATAGGAAGTCCAACCAATCATATTGCGCGCTTGGAAGGGTGGTCTTTTTGACAAAATGTGAGAAAGTCAATCCTACACGTGAGATTAACATAAGAAGTGATATATTTAAACGTATGTAGAGTCTAAAATACAATGCAATAAAAATTATAAATAGAAGTAACTGAAGGTCGAATCAAATGGAAACCAGCGAATGGGAAATGTTTAGCAAATTCCGTAGGCCATCACATTATGGAACATAAAATGAGAGCGAAAATATTGGGTAGTCATTTGAATCATTTGAAAAATTGTACAATTATTATGATTTGTAGATGGGGAAGATCCGGAAATAGATACTATGATATTTATAATGATTGCTTGTAAACAAGCGATAATCGGAGGATGGGGAAGGGTGAGGAGATTAACTTCTGTACCATAATCTGGTGATTCTAGTCTTCATCATTTTCTTTTGTAATTGGAAAACACCGTACATCAAGGCTTCGGCAGTTGGTGGACATCCAGGAACGTAGACATCGACAGGGATAAGTCTGTCACAGCCTCTGACAACCGAGTACGAATAATGGTAGTATCCACCACCGTTGGCACACGAGCCCATAGAAATGACCCATCTTGGGTCAGCCATTTGATCGTAAACTTGTCTCAACGCTGGAGCCATCTTGTTGGTGACGGTACCGGCGACAATCATGATATCGGATTGACGAGGGGATGCTCTGAAAATAATCCCCAATCTATCTTGATCGTATCTTGGAGTGGAAACATGCATCATTTCGACGGCGCAACAAGCCAAACCGAAAGTGACGGGCCAAAACGACGATTTTCTAGCCCAGTTAGCGATGGCATCCAACGAAGTCAAAGCGTAATCAACAGGAGCCGAAGCTGTCTTTTGTGACATTAATGGAAAGTCTGTGGCCAATGGCTTTGGCGTCAAATCCTTCGAGGAAATCGAACGGACAGCTCCATATGGAATCATCTTCATAGATTGATTTCTGCCGACACTCAATATAGATCTTCTAGCTAATGAATACATTTTATGTGAATATGTATTTGTAATGTTTTTGCTATGTTTACTATGTGTTGAAATAGAAAGACTAAGAAGTTTTTAGTGTTTTAATTTTGTGATAGTCAGGAATATCAGCAATAAAAAATCGTTATTGATTGGATACGACATTATTTTCAAACGTCTGAAAATACGACATGGTGCGACATGGATTGCAACGTTACATTTGATGCGATCGACTTCGTACTGGGAACCACTACAGGCATCAGGCTCTTACATCAGTTGTTTTATGAATTTTTGTACATTTTGACTACATTCTTTGTTATAGTATATATACATGTAGTATACAGATCGAAGGTAGAGAATTTCTGGTTATCTAGCTAGAGATACTCCAGTTTCTCTTCGTCGACAACGACTTTTGACATGTAAGAAGGTTTAATTTATAAGCTACAGAGATTATTGGATAGCATCGTCCAAATAGTCCTTTAATCTCTCCAACACATCCTCCTTTATATTTGAGGGAACCATCTCTTCTGCTTTAGGCTTTACGAATGAGAATAACTGATCGAAACTGACGGCTGTATCCTGGGCCAGATTTTCTTGTAATTCACGGTTAGCCAATTGCGTGACCTTGTCAAACCATCCAGATTCATAGAGTTGTAATTTCAACTGTTTATTTATTATGTCGTAGTTTCCGGACGATATGAGATGCTCTTGGATTTGTGATTTTATTTGATCTAGTTCATCTTGTTGTTGTGTCATTTTGAAATAGCAATGTAAGTAGCAGCCCTCGAATTTGCACAAAGATCTTGCTTAAATAAGGATATAATATATATGTAGGTATATAATCCTTTACACCCAGCTATTATATTCTTCTTTGAAATGTCCTCCTCGTGTAGAATCACTCAATATTCAAAATCGAGTATCAGAAATCTCACGAAATCGTCTTTCGGTGTGCATCAATATTCTAGACACTTATTCCACAATACTACGAAAAAAATGCCAAAAAATACAAAAGGATCACCATACGATGCTAAATTAGTCTCGGTAGAGCCGCTTGAACAAGGAAAATGGATTCAGACCCGTAAATTGAATTACAAAGATCCAAGGGGTAACGACAGAGTATGGGAAATGGCCATTAGGACAACCCGTTCGGAAACTACTAACATTGATGGTGTCGCTATAGTGGCTTTGCTCAATCATCCAGATAAGAAGAAGGAGATCGTATTGACGAAGCAATTTAGGCCTCCGGTTGGGGCAGTGGTTATTGAGTTGCCAGCAGGATTAGTCGACCCAAAGGAAACTATTGAATCTACTGCTGTTCGTGAATTGATCGAAGAAACTGGTTATCATAGTACTTTTAGTCATCTGACAGATTCCATGGCTGATTTAGTAAGTGATCCAGGTTTAACTAATGCAAACATGGCAATTGCCTACGTTGACGTAGACTTGACGAAATCTGAGAACGTCAGTCCAAAACCTCAGTTAGAAGAAGGAGAGTTCATTGATTCGTTTTCCGTCCCACTTGAGGATTTGGTTAAAGAATTACATCGCTTAGTCAAAGAAGAAGGATGTGTAGTGGATGCAAGATTGTACCATTTGGCTGTGGGTGTTGAGCTTGCGAAATCACTTTAATGTGGTTATTAATATACTTTAGATCATGATATATAGCCAGATTTGAACGTTACTGATGACAATTTGTTGTTTCTACGTAGCTAAATAAACCATAAAAACCGCAATCTCTAAAATCGCAGCAATTTTGCCTGTGAAAACGTTATCATTCAAATTTGTGAGCTACGTTATCTTTTATATTCTTCATCAGATAACAATAACGCCGTATTAACTGGTTTCGTTATGCCGACTGATATAGATGTTTGCAGCTTTTGTCTAGGTGGTGAGACTGACATACCACCTTTTGGAAGCTTACGTGATGCTGAAGATTTGGTCCATCCATGCTCAACTTGTTCATTAACGGCTCATAGAAAATGTCTACTTGACTGGTTTAATTCATTATCTTCTGATAAGTTACAAGTAGTTAACGCTCTGACTCTTACGGAGGGCTCAGTGAGAAGACCACATTCGCATAGTCATGATGAAAGTATTGGAGTTGGACAACCTCAACAGGAAACAAGAATTCACATAAACATATCTTCGCAACAATTAAACGACTGGATTACAAACATAGCGTCTAGTTTAAGTGGCAACGTAACGACAGAGAACTTATCTTTGAATAATGATTCGCAAGACTCATCCAATGGGTTTGTGGTGCTTTTATTGGCACCATGTCCCCAATGTAAAGATGATATAGTCTTCAGTATGAGAAGATCTTCGTTCTTGACGTTTACAACGGCTACTAGGACTCTCGTCACTCGAAGCATTACTTACGGTGGACTATTTATTGGGATCACTTCTGCTGTTACTGGAGTCGTCTCCATGGGCTATATTGGGTTGACGTCTCTCGGATTGAAAATGATGGATTCCTTGATTCCAACGCCTTTATTATTGAAAATGTTAACAAGAAATACATCACCCGATGCAGCATTATCAAATTCTTCATTATCTCAAGTTTTGTTTGGAAATGTTAATAATTATGCAATTGATAATTTAGAACAGGCATTGTCCAAAGGATTGATAGATCCATTAAAATTTTCACGTATTCCGGTTTTACCAATAGTACTCTACCGTATGCGTTCATCTTCAATAATGAATTGTTTATTTGGCAGTTCGAAAGAGAATTCTTTTAACAATTGGCTTACCGAATTTATGATAAGTGGATATATTTCATCTTTAGGTAATCATGAATTATTTAAGTCTGTAACTACTAACCTTCAATATCTGGTTCTGAGGATTTTGCAGAACCCGCGGTCTATATCTGAGGGCTTAGGGCTTTTAAAGGGTATTAATTTGTGGAAAGCAAACAATATGATATCTATGTTAGTACCTTTGAGATGGGTGTATGATTTATTCTTTAGAATGACTTTAAACAGACTCCACTTCAACATTGCAATGAGTATAAGGCCCCGTGATATAGCAAATTCTTTAAATGCCTCTGAATTAGATGAATTAGAAGAAATTGGTGCTAATATTGGAAAATTAGAATTTAAATTCAAAAGCTTTAGAGATGTAGTAAATGATCAAGTTGAGAAAGAATTCAAGTCAAAATCTTCGTATTCATTGATAACAACTCTATTCAAGTTCATCAAAAAGAAATTATTATATTATGAACGTTGTTTCAATTCCAATCTACAATTGTCATATTCCAGGCTTAAGGTTTTGTCATGGATTCATGAAACTAAAGCATGCATTAACAATGACTATTCATCTGCATTTTTATATAAATCGATCACAATGAGATTTGTAACAACAGTTTTATGGCCTATCGCCAGTTCCAAATTAGGCAACATGATATTTAAACTTTTTCAAACTAAGAAATTTGCAGACATTCCAAAGAATCAATTAATTTTATTGGGCAATATAATTGGTTTGGTTGCTGTCGTTTTTGTTAAAGATTGCGTAAACTTATACTTAAGTAAAAAGAAAGCTGAACAAATATCACAAATGTCAGTCTTATGCATTGATGTCGAAAGACATGATAATACCAATGAACAACACGGTGATGCTAATGTCAACGCGAATGACGATAGTAACTGGATTACGGAAGATGAAGATGAATTTGCTCAACGATTTCCAGGAAGATATGTAGAGTAAATATTTACCATTCAAATATACTATTAAAATTTATTTGTACATCTTACTATATAAGAGAAACATAAATCATATAAAACGATAGCACTCAGAGAAAATTTAGCCTTAATCATCATCGTAATTTTCATCCTCATCAACTCTTCTCAATGGTGGTTCAACTGGTTCAGAAGGTTTCTTTTCCTCTGTTTCCTCTTCTTCGTCTTCCTTTTTACCGGTAACGTTTGAAGAAAATTGAGGTATCTCAGTCTTAGACTTCGAGCTTTCCTTATCAGATTTTGGACTTTGTTTGGTGGACTTTGGTTCACGTTCATCTGTCTTCGGTGTCTCTGACTTGGCGGAACTAGCGTTATTTGCAGCATTAGCTAAAGAGTTTAAAGGACTATTTTGTTGCGACTTTGCACTCTTCTTTGATTGTTTCTTCGTAACCTTGGTATCCTTCTTATCTTCCAAATCACGCTTTGTGCCATTATTTTGCTGAATTGAAGGAATCGAAGTACTCTTTTGGGGTGGCGAATTTTGAGGTGGTGGTAAATTTGATTGGGGTGGTGGTGATGGTGGTTTAGCACTTGTTTGGCTTGGTGTATTCGTAGACGATTGAATTTGCGATGGTGGCTGAGGAATACTTGGAAGGTACGATGTTTGTGGGTTTGATTGGGCAAGTGGAGGAGGTTGATGGACAGGTGGAATTGGTGAAACTGCAGGCTGATTAGGTTGAGAAATTTGAGGTGGTTGTGGGAGTGAATGTGGAGGTGGTGGTCCTTGTTGGTGAGGTTGCAAAAGAGGTGGTTGTTGGTGTAATTGTGATTGTTGTTGTGCTGGTGGAGGTGGGTGTCCTGGTAATAACTGGGGTTGTTGGGGACCTTGTTGTTGCATTTGGGTGCTTTCTAAAATCATCCCCAGTGGTAATTTCGGTTGTTGGCTAACTGGTGGCGGTTGAGGTGGTTGAGTATTACCGTCTTGTTGGTATTTGATTAATTGATCTAATCTTGCCTTAATATGAGGGTTACTTGGATCTAATCGTTCGGCCTGTCTATACGCATCCAACGCATCACTAATTTGATTATTACAAGTCTCATACAATGTTCCTAAATCGTACCAAACCTCACTGATGTAAGGGTTCAATCTAATGGCCCTCGTATAAGCATCTAAAGCATCGCGATATTGAGAAATTTGATAATACAAAACACCAATAGAACACCAAAATGTAGGGTTTCTGGAGTCTCTGTTGACTGCCTGTTGGAACGCTTCATAAGCAGCATTGAAATCCCCTCTAATCATATGAACCCTACCAAGGTAGTACCATGAGTGTGCATCTGATTGGTCGATCTCTAAAGATTGTAATAAATACTTCAAGGCGATGTTTAAATCTTGTTGGAAAGGTTGCTGGTTGGAATTTCCTGATGGAGTGGGTTCTGCTTGAGAGTACAAACAACCTAATTGTTGCAATACCTTTGCATGTTGGGGATTGACTTGTAACACCTTTTCGTAAGCTTCCTTGGCCCCATTCCAATCTTTTTGTTGTTCCAATACGGAACCGATTTGGAACCAAACATCCGGTTGTGTTAATGGATGTGGTGGGTTGCTCAAGATATATTGGAAGCATTCAAGTGCCGACTGTAATTTACCTTGATGCTTATAAATAATCCCCAATCTAAAATAAATTTCATTTGATTTGTCGAAGTTGGGGTCCAATTCTAAGACCCGAACGAAGGCTTCTTCGGCATATTCTAACGAACCATATCTGTCATATAAAATACCAATACCGTGCCATAACTTAGGAACATTTGGATTATCCAAATAATATAAGGCTCTTTGATACGCCGCATATGCCCTTTGCAAATCGTCCAACATCAAGTAGCAGTGTCCCAATAATCCCCACGTTTCACCGTTCTCTGGGTGGAAGTTCAACGCTTGTTCATACAACTCAGCAGCCTTGAAAAACACATCCTTCGACCTATACATGTTAGCCAACTTGGTCAAGATCTCCGGGTTGTTAGGAGAGTGTCTCAAAGCCGAATCGTATGACGCCAACGCTTTTTCTACGTCTCCCAAGCTCTCTGCCAACGACCCAATCGCAAGCCATGTCCCTGCTGTAGTTTCCATCAAAATGTTGGACGGGTTAGTAGGTGGTGCCATTGGTTGTGGTGACGGAACTGGGATTGATCCATTGGCCTGCTTGTGACCATTATTGCCCATAGTCATCTGTACGGGAATACTCGTTGCCATATTGTTCTGTTCTTCTGTGTGTTTGGTCTAGCAATTAACCAAATACTTCAAAATAAAATCACAAAAATTTTCACTCCCAATTGTGTTGAAATGTTTATGTCCAACGTTTGAATACGCTTCTAATTATAACCGTGACAAAATTCCTATAAAATACTCCTGTTTTTCAATATTGTATCCGATAGGTTAGTTGGTTCCTTTGTAGTTACAACTGGTTTATTAGTTATTAGTTGTTTGTTTTTATGGTTTTGCCATCTAATTATGGAAAAATAAACTGGTTTTGGCAAAAGAAGTACAAATTCACCGAGACGTACAAATTATGTGGAAAAAAATCCTACTTTCGCACCCCCTGTTTTTTGCGGCTTAAAATTGTACGTGATTCTTAAGGTTTTCGTATATACGCTAAACAGGGGGTGCATACCTAAAATTGAACGATTGCCCATTTGCCATAGAATAAATACGGACCTTCTATGTAGACCATATGACCAATTTTATAATAGAAATTGACAACACATAGATTACGTTAATACAATTTTGCATTTTTACTAAATGAAATACGCAAATAATATATATATGTATTGTATTTGGTACGTACGTATAGATATATATGTATAGTTCAAAGCTTTTGATTGCTACTCTGGCAGAAGCGATAACAAGTGGGTGTGAGAATTTTATCAATGGGCGATTTCGAGACGTGCGCTTCGAGAAAATAGCCGGAGCGATGCCTGGCTTTACACTAGAAAATTAGCCGGGAAGACCAGGAAACTTCGCGTGCATGTGACCCAAGATGACTCGTGAACAATCTATACGACAAGACGTTTGGAGATCCTTTGGGTATGCGTTTTGGATCAGGGAGGGTTTACGACACTATGTGAAAAGATACGATCTATAACTTCAGTTTCAGTGCCTTGAATGAAGAATTGAAGCCTAACAACTCGTTGATATCCTTCGTCCAATCATTCTCGCTCCGGGCAACGCACCATATACCCTTTTGGCAAAGGTCTTGCTTACTGGAAGGCGTAGAGTCAGTAGAGTCATTTCTTTCATTTTCGGAGGTGGAGCCAGAAATTGTGTCCGAACGTGAGTTGGTTGCTAGCGCAGAATCGTTCTCTCCGGCCACATGAATTTGATCTCCTGGCTGCAAATCCTGCTGCAGTATCCCATCTATGTTCAATTTTATCGATGCATTTCGATTCTTGTCGGACAACTTGATCATTATGTGGGATGATGCAGGAAGAATCAATGGCCTGAAAGACAATGATCTAGGGCAAATTGGCGTAAGGATTATGCAAGGAACCAACGGGTGGGTGATCGACCCTCCGGCAGAGAGTGAATACGCAGTAGAGCCTGTTGGCGTGGAAAATACGAGTCCATCACCGGTAGTGGTAGTCAAAAACTCATTATCTATGTAGATATCCAATGAGATGAGATTAGGCTGACTACCTCTGTGTAACGAAATATCATTCATGGCATGCAACATTGTAGTGACTTTTTCCTGGGGTGAAACTCCCGATTCAGATTGTCTGATATTCTTGATAGGTGTAGCATCGGTTATTGGGGTGTGAGTGGAGTCATTTAACGACTTACGAACAACGTGACACTCCAATCTGTGTCTATGCAATGCTTTACCTCTCGACTCGTATACCATGCGAAACGATTCGCTGAATGTACTGAAATCAAACGGTAACAAAAATCCTAACGTCCCCAATGCAAAGCTTAACACAGGTGGCACGTTTGCATTCAGAAATGTGCTAACTGCACGTAAAATAGTTCCATCTCCTCCTAGTGTTACTATCAAATCAGTCTTATTCACAATTTCAGATAATTCGCCCGTGTAGATAACATATTTGGAATTCAGAGAAAACTTGGGACTTTGCTTTTTCAAGATATTGGTGACAGAACCTCCAGTATTGGTCTCGTGAATTATTTCATCCGCAACGTCTTCACTCACAACAACGTTAACTGAAGGATAATTATCGTGAATGTGAGTTATGAATCTCACGGTAGCATCTCGGACATCCTGATTCCATGGCTTTTTAACAACGTAAATATTTTCCAACGGTGAATTCCAGATGATATTACTTAGTTGCGAGTTTGGAGATCGAATAAATTCTGGAAATGTGCTATTCCGTAAATGTTTGCATGATTTAATTGTTATAAGATCATTACTCATTAATATGTCACTTTTTCTGATTGAACTTAACGAAATATTTTTCGCAAACTTCAATTGACCTATATTCATCATTCTTATACCATTGGCAATGTATGAGTATTGCGGTATTGTCCATGGCTTGAGCATCATACTAAACGATCCTGGCTTGAGTATGTGTGAACTCTGTTTCTTTTCTTCACAAAAAAATAAGTTCTCACTATAATCCTTATATTTAAAGAAAAATGCTTTCTTGTAACCTCCTCAAGTATGTATGACTCTAAATTTATTGTAATGAATTAACCTTCAATTGACCTTAAGATAAAAATTTAATTACGTCTAATATTGTTTTCATATTGGGATTATAATCAGGTGATCATATGCTGATAAGATATTCCAATAGGAATAATACATTACAAGATGTGTCAATCTATTTGCTTGTTTTATTATTAATTACAAAAAAAAATATGGGACTTAATTTACATAAGGCTATGTTACTAAACGCAGCCTGTCTACAAATACTTCAGTAATAAAAAAAATAGAATGGTTAAGCATTATTCTCGTTTGAGTTTAATTCGTTTATCTCTTTCAATTCTTCGTCAGTAAGCATTTTCTCATCTTCATTAGGCTCTTCTGATTTTTCTGGCTGAGCTGTAGTTTCTAATTCAGCAGATTTAGATTCAGAAGCAGATGCAAAGTTGCTGAAATTTTGGATGTCTTTACTACCAGCATCTTTATCGTCTTCTTCATAGAATTCGTTGTCCGGTTGAGTTATTTCATCCCTTGCTTGCTGCGAACCGCCCTTGGTGTCTATCGCCTCTTGTGTATCTTCATCGACGTCACCCAAGTCCTCAGCATCATTCGGAACGTAGTTCATTTGAACTGATGGCGCGTGCTTAGTATTTTCCAAGTTTGTCAAAATATTAGTTAATATTTTATTTAAAAATTCGGGAGAATTGGCATTGTACATATTGGAAGGTCTGACATCCAATTTGTAGTCGGGACCATAATACTCGTAGTATTCATTGTATGGCAACTCGCTGGGTAATACGACGTTGTTCAATAAACCCGCTTCAAAAGACCAAGTCCTAGCAACGTTTCTCATTGTATAACCACCACCGCCAACGACCATCATTGGAACGTTGAATGACTTGACAAAATTAATACAATTAGCGTGGCCTGACATTGACAAGTTGAAACACCCCAATCTATCACCACTCAATGAATCACCACCACATTGTAAGACAATAGCTGAAGGTTGATACCATTCCATGACCTTACTGATTACTGGTTCGAAAATGGACTTGTAAGTAGCATCATCAATACCATCTCTTAAAGGTACATTGATTGCATGGTATTTACCCTTACCAACACCAATATCTCTCAATTCACCAGTACCAGGGAAAAATTCACCATACTTGTGGAAGGAGCATGTCATGACTCTATCTGTCGTATAAAAGGCTTCTTCTACTCCGTCACCATGATGAACATCAATATCAATATATAAAACTCTTGGATGATATCTCAATAATTCAATAATACCTAATACGATATCATTTAAGTAACAAAACCCAGAAGCTTCCGATTTTTTAGCATGATGTAAACCACCTGCATAATTAATAGCAATATCACATTTTCCTCTGTTTAACCTTGCAGCACCCTCCATCGATCCACCACCTGAAATACCACAGTATTCAAATAACCCGTCAAAAACTGGACAATCATCTCCAACATTGAATTTAATCTGCTCTTTGGCAAACATGTCTAAATTATCAGGGGAAACACGACTTAAAAAGTCAATATATTCATCAGTATGAAATTGGCACATTTCTTGCTTAGTAGCCGGTTTAGCACGATAAATCTCCATCTTCTTATATAATCCGTAATTCATAATTAACGAATGTGCCATTCTTATACGATGAGGTTTCATTGGATGACCGGCACCATAAGCATAGTTACCCACATCAGCATCATAAAAATACGCTACTCTCTTCTTTTGAGTAGGATCGACCTTCAAATCATCAAATGGTAATTGAACATACATTGTTGTAATCACTCGTGTTTCTCTATTTCAATAGTTGATAAAATGTATTTCGAGTCCCTCTTTCTTTTCTGTTTTCTCACGTTCTTAAATTAAAATTATAAGCAGAAAAAGAAACTATTTGATTTTAATACGAACGATTATAGTCTACCTTCAATATAGTATCCAACAGTTAGATAATTAGTAGTTAAATTTAAAGTGAAATGTTCATAATAGACTTTTAGTACCTGAGAAATCTAAAGGTTTACACAAAATGTTACCCGCACTCAAATGATTGTATATTTCATGCTTATATAAAATTACTCTATAGTACTAACCAGACCAAATTAATCAAAATCGGTTGGTGTCAGTTGTTTGGGTTGCTTCTCTTTCCATTCTTATCCTATTTTTGTAATCTTCCAATTGTTGATTTAGCTGATCCTGCAACTGAGCGTTATAACACCATCTGTCGTAAACATCTTCATCAATTTCAAAGTTTATGCCGTTTTCTAATCGGGCGTCAATAGATTTCTTAGTGACTGTAACTGGTAATAACCAGTAGTACCAACTTGGTCCCATTATACTTCTCCAGTTACGCCCGCATCCCAAATCAAAAATATTTCCTAATTTCTTCTTTTTACCTGAACCATCAAATTCATATTGAAAGCTTTTCCCGTTCTTATCGTTCTTGAAGTTCCACCTGTTCTCTTGGAATTCTATTGTTGTTTTATTTCTGCAGAGTAAATATAACAGGAAGGCCAGAAAGCCTCCGACTGTAATGAAAAATGCCAAGCTTAGCACAAACAAAAATACCAAATTTAACGACAAATAATGGTCATTGTACTTTTCGTCTGCAAAAAATTTCCAGAGAATCCAGAGACTTACCACGAAATCGAATCCGGAATATGCTGTAACGTACATGAGAAATTGTGCAAAGAACTTGTGGTTATAAAATCCAACGCACGTAGCAAACCAAGGGCAATGATGGTCCATTCTTAAAATACACCGATTACACGTCGAGCAGTGGTGACAGCGATCTGGTTTCCATACACTGCATTTCGTACAGTACCTGTAGGACGAATTATTGCTCTTCAACATATGCAAAGTCATATACTCAGAGGGTGGTTGTTCCGATTCAACGCTCGTTGTCTCATCAACCCCCTCAGCATTCGCAAGAAGTGAAGCTGATGTTGTCATATTGTCATTTGTATCATAGGGATTGGCAGAGTTATATTTCGGTTTTGACAACAGCAAAATATTACGAATTCTTAATTCTTCAAAATCTGATGGCGATCCGGGCCCCGCATTCAACACCCTGAAATATGTATATAGGCATAATATGTATAGTGTAAGTCCTATCAACCCAATGGCGATAGCAAATATCGATGTTTCTTGTGTAGTCATTAATGTATCATAACATCCATGCACAATCAAAGCGTAGACTGACCATGTCAAAACAGATGTACAAAATACTTTAGGAAATAACGTTGCTAACGTACAACAAAATGTCTCTATAGACGTAATCCAAGGAGCATGACGGATCATTATTCGTGGATGAGATATCAACATGATAAAGAGTATAATAAAATAGTTTAGCTATCGCATGTTGAATTTCGAGGTTTAGATTACTTCGCACTTTGATCCATAATATTGTATTGTATATTTGATCTATATAATTTTTATAATCTATATAATTTTATTGATTCTTCTTAGTAGTAGGAGTCTTGTTCATACTCATCTTAACTAAAGCTTCGTAACCAATTCCTCCAAATACTAAACCAACACCACACCATTGTAACCCATTCAATTGATGTCCAAATAAGACAACACTTAAAATCATACTAATCATTTTTCTGGTAACAGTAGAAGTGATAAGAATTAAGGAATCAAATTTCTCTAGGATGATAAAAACGAACACTTGGCCAACTGAGCCTAAAATAGCAAATTCCAAGATATTGATCATGACTTGAGGATAATGATGAACAAAATTGACAGTATATGTAATTTCTGATTGATATTTGAAAATTAGCGCATAGGCTAGCGTATTTATAAAAATGAATGCATTCAAGATGCACATCAAGTATGCCCCTGTTAATTTTGTATGTTTGCTATTAGGCGACGTCCCTCTCAATTTAAATAATTGATCTTGTGTAGAATTAGTCAACCCATCCAAAAGCATGGAACCGATTAACTGTGCCATTCCTAAGGCCGTTTTACCATCACTAATATCGGCCTTACTCTTCGTTGAAGAATGGGATAATGTGAACACTATCACACCTGCGGTAACTGATCCAGCTACCATGCATTTGTATAATGGGAATTTTGTACGATAAAGCACAAAATGAACTAACATGACCGGAATTAGCTTGCACGATTTTGCTAGCAAGTATGCCAAGTAGTCAACATGTTTTAAGGATTCGTAGCCCAAAGGAGATGATAGACTAGATGTAAGCGAAATTATCACGAACGATTTGAAGAATTTTAATGCTACTGGCTTTTCATTCTGGGTAAAAATACTTAACGGATTCGATCTGGACGAAACCAACGAATAGATAAGACCAACGATAGACGCAAAAAGGGCTTGTATGATGTTTATTACCAAGGGAGCTTTGAAAAAATCTGGACTACCAGTATCTGGATTTGATCCATACGGTTTTGTACTAATCCTCTCTTGCAAAACCGACCAGGTTAGGAATGATGCATAAAGTCCCAAAATGCAGGCTGCCAACGTTATTATCAGTCCACCTCCTTCTTTCTTCATTTGATATATACGACGTATGAAACAAGAAACAAATTTGTTCGTAAGATCTAACTTTCATTAAGATCGAGAAAAGTTGACTATTCGCGCGTATGTTATTTTTATATCTTGCTTGTATTTATTTCTTTTATATCCTAGTGTTATTTAATAGAACTAAATACTATATTAATTAGCTACGGCCAAAAATACCAAAGAAGCCACTCTTCTTCTTATTAGGATCGTTCTGATCGGTTGTTGAATCAGATGTAGTAGAGGTACCTAAATTGGAGTTATTATATGATGAAGAACGACCCATGCCATAATTAATGTAATTAAACCCAATATCAAATAAGACAGGCTTGCTCAAAACAGGAGCAATTGATAAATTTTCATTGAAGTTGGCAATATTGTCTAAAGTTTCATTGGAAACTGGATATTTATTCATGTTTTCAATGACGAAATTACTCTGGTTCAAATTCTTGGATAAGTCTAAAGAGAATTGCGCCAATATTTGAGCTTGAAGTACATGAGAAGGTAACTCCTTTCTGAATTTTTCAAATTCGTCATTGCTGCTAACGTTATACGGAAACTCATCAATCTTATAGAACTTATTTTCAGAAGACGATAAGGTAGTATCCACATGATCAAATATCTTTAATGCTTCTGGGAACTTATTATTAAGAGCGAATGATCTAGCCAAAACAGTGGATTTTTTTGCGACGAAAAACTTCTCCAAATTATCCAAAGATTCGTGTAAATCTTCATCATTATAAACACCTGGTAAGTCCTTTATTTCGTGAGTAGTAGTGATTATGGTACCGTATAATCTAATGATATCCTTATTGAACTCTAATTTCTTTAAAGCAAAAACATTATCACCTTGAGATGATAATTGATCGATTATTAACAAGTCTCTTTTCAATCTAGTGAATAACAAATTGAAATTAATATATGTTAATACAATGGCTCTGTCTTGGACCTTTTCAAGGTCATCTTCATCCTTATTTTTATCCATATCGTTTGTATGAATTTCTAATAACTCAGACCATCCGGATAATAATACGTCAAACTGGTTAGCATCATTGAAATTTTTCCAATTTGTTTCATTATCATTAGTTAATTTCATAATTTTATAAGCAAGCTCGTCATTGTATAAAGTTGCTTCATGGTCTCTCCATTGAACCGACTTGATTAATTCAGTTGATGAAGACACTTCTGAAACAGCTTCAGGTTCGATTCTGGCAATTATTTCGATAACTGGTTGTAAATAAGACAATTTATTGTCACGGCAGTGTTGACGTGATACTGTTTTTAAATCGGTTGTAGTGGAGTAGGCTGTATCATCTTGAGAAATAGCTAATGCCAACGAAGGATCTACTAAGGTCTCAGTAATTTCGCTAATCAAAGTCTTTTTGAATTGAATAGATTCTTCTTGTTCCTCTTCAACATCCATCTTACTATCTTCTTGCGAATATAAGAAATCTAAAGCACATTTAGCGATGGAGAAGGCATTCAATGCTTTTGGCCATTGTTTTTTATTGACTGATAGATTACCTTGAATTAAGGCAGCATAGGTGTAATATTCAATCCTTTTATATTCATCTTTCTCATTTACAGTGATTTCCAATAATTTCTTAGAACTAGACAACGACTTCTTGATTCTACTTATCATAAGATTTCTGTATGACGAAGCATTGTCATTGCTAATCTCCAACAAACTTTTAATTTCTGAGGAATATAAACTATCTCTTTCTGCTGTCAAAAGCAAAAGTAGCCCATATCTTTCATCTTGGTCATAATTTTCAGATGAGATTTTGGATATTTTTTCTTTCTTCTTGTAGTCTTTGGTATCAGGAGTTATAAGATCCAATTCATGACGTAACTTAAGTAACCTTTTATTTAGTCTCTTTCTTTGCTTATGGTAATCTTCCGAGCTAGAAAGATATGCGCTCATACGAGCTCCCAATGTAACATTAAGAGGGTATTCCATTGTGGGTAATTTCTCTCGTCAATTTACATTAATCAATTTGAGTGTAGATTCTTATACTGGACGTAACTAAATGAGTTTTTCATTGCGCACACGACCAAATAATTTACAAATTGCAAAATGTTATCTTATATAACTGACAACTAACATTGATTAGTCAATGAAGAAGTCTAATCAATGAAGCAGTAAGCGGAACGTTGTTGTAGTTTTAAATACTTAACTAAAAAGGTTTCGGCGGTCAATGTAGACAGATGCGCTTAATATAAAGAATTAGAGAAGTTTCGGAAAAAAATGGACGAGTCCGGAGTCGAACCGGAGACCTCTCCCATGCTAAGGGAGCGCGCTACCAACTACGCCACACGCCCTGTGTGATTTAAGAGAAATGGTCCCTAGCAGGATCGAACTGCTGATCTTGGCGTTATTAGCACCACGCCTTAACCAACTGGGCCAAGGGACCTTAACTATTTGATGTAAGAGAACATGCTCATATCTATACAAGTTATGTAGGTTAGCAAGATGTTGGAATGTTAATCTCAAATAGAGATTAGGGAATTACGACCTAAACAGAGAGTAATTAGTTAGTTGTCAATCTATAAGTTAAGTTAAAGTTAAGTTAAAGTTAGATTAGTAGAGTCTACATGGTATATCAAGTGTGCGTTGTAAGAATTACCTAATTTAGACCCAATTCCCTTAAATTTGTTTGTAAGAGAACACAAGCATACATGCATAAATATCAGGGCTCATAATCCCCTCAAGTAATCTTTCTACAGGTGAAGTCATTTTAGTATTCATTTTTTCTTTTTATAAAATTCTAAACAGTTTTAAACGGCTTGATCAGTACTATAATATATAATTTAGATAATCTCAAAATACTATATAATTATCTCTTCAATTGACCTTCTTTATAGTGGAATATTAGAATTACTCAATTAAGTCTTTATCGTTAGTAGTAATTAATATTCTCAATTAATTACTTAAGCTAGCAATTTAGAATCTATAACTCACTTATTAACTCACTCAGCTTAAACTAGAAATATTAAGGGGAAGCAATTCATTTGTTAACTTGAATAGGAATCTAATATATTTTTGCAACCAGATTATGTTTTCTCAAATTGCATGCTCATTAAAAATATGCAATAAGAATTTTATTTGAATCAAATTATTTAGGACTTTCAGGTGGTTTTCACTTGGTCTTTCACAACAGACACATACTAAATTGACAACCTACACGAGGGGCCTGAATCAGCATATTCAGCACTTCATTTTTTTACAATAATTACACCATCATTAATTTCTTTATAATGTATATTATAAACCACAAATGAAATAATACTATTTCATTCATTTTTGTAAAATATTATAGGTTATATATACAACCCTGAAGAAAATTTCATATTGTAATGATATTAGATGTTGGAAAGTAGTACTGCAAATTTTCATTTTCGCAGCCAATTAAATGAAAAAGTTAATAATTTGAGATAAATATACTGATAATAAATGACAATAATACTATTTCAATTTAACTTTATTCGGACCTCTAGTCCAAGCTCTTTTGACTCGCATATTTAGTCTACCAAAACAAGAAGTCTGGGGTATATTTTCAAAATAATCTGTATCATCTATAGCCTCAGGTTTAAAATTTGTATACACAGTGAATATGGATAGTGGTTTCCATTCTACTTCATCAGTAGTAGGATTGTTCCTTTTCCTTATTTTGGACCTAATTTCTTCTGGTTGTGTCTTCAGTCTTTTTTTAAGGCTATTCTCAAAGGAACGGAAATATTTGGACTTCAATTCAAATTCATCGTCAATCGTTTTATTGACAGAAGCTGAGACGACTTTAGCCTCTTTATAGCTATTGGAAGCGAGCTTTAACATTCCAATATTGGAAACCTGATTACTATTATCAGGATAATTGAATATTCTACCTACATCTCTTTCATCAGCATCATCGAAATATGATCTATCTTCGCTATTTTCGTTCTCAAAAACGTAAGATCTATACATGGAATCTTTCATGTTGATATTCGGCGTGGGAGTAGGTGTAAGTGGAAGCGGAAGCGGAAGAGGACTATGGGGTCTTAAAACCCCAACTGAGTCCTTGAAAGTTTGAACATCTACTTCCGAATTAATAAAGGTATCAAAAAGCTCGTCATAATTCAATCCCTCTCTCAAGTCAGCAGGTGCCGTGGCATGCACATCTTCGACAGCTTTACTAAACCGACAATTTTTTTGAATTTCTTTACATTCTTGATCTCGTAGGTTGAGTACTTGTATCTTAGGGCTGGTATGTAATGGAAAGAAAGACATTGCACTGAAATGCTGAGAATTAGATTCTTGCCTTACTGATTTCTGTTGCTCATATCCACTTTTGCTTTCTAACTCATATTGTGCCGCATAATTAAATGTTGTTGGGGGATTCAGATGGTTCAATCCTGAATAAGAAGTGGCAGCATTGTTGTCATTGCATTGGTCCATGAATTGAACTAATTCACTGATGTTATACTGTAATTGACTATCCATACTTATGAGCATCCTTTTCACGAAAAATACTAGAAGATGTTTCTAATTACAATCTTAAATAGTTATATATTAAAGCTAGCATAAAACCTTTATCACCTATAACGTGTATACGAGCTTTTAGGGGGCCTTGGAGGACAAGTTTCATTAGCAGAATATACTTTAGCGAGAAAGTTTGCAGCCGTTTTTGGAATCCAAGGAAGTAAAAATAAGAAAATCTTTAGCATAAAATAATCCGAAAAAGTAAAAGTTTATATCCATAATTGATTTGTGGAAGTCAAATTACCGTCATAGGTTATGTTGATGCAACAATGTACATGCCCTGGTTACTATAATCTATTCTAGAGACCTCAAAAATTATATATAAAGCCTGAAGTTCATAAAAGCAAAGCCGAATATTATGAGAATAAATATTAGATGCAAGGGAGACATATAGTTTGATACCTAGTATATATACCCTTACATTCCATCCATGTTAGTCTTAATATTGGTTGCATTATGTTCCAAAATAGTAGTGTATTTACCACAATAATCTCATTATGAATCATCAAGAGCTTGAAATATTCAATGCACTAAGAACCCAATTATCTCGTAGTAAGATTGAAGGGTGATGATGATTTCCAGAAACTTATTGAAGGGGATACACAAACCTGTAAACAGAAAGGTTTGTGTACCAAAAATTGTTTCCTTAACTTCGACTAAATTTTATTCCACTCAATCAACGGTTCAACAATTTCCAGAATTGCAAGAAGCTGATTTTACACCTGAAGGTGAGCCAGATTATATTAAGTTGATATTGACATCTCGGGTTTACGATGTTGTCGATGAAGGTGGGTCTCCTCTCACCCATGCTGTTAACTTGTCACAGAAATGTAATACCAATATATTCTTAAAGCGTGAAGATTTATTACCGGTATTTTCATTTAAATTACGTGGAGCATATAATATGATTGCACATTTACATTCTAATTCAAAGTCACCAGTATCTGGTGTAATTGCATGTTCTGCTGGTAATCACGCACAAGGTGTTGCTTTCTCTGCTAATAAACTAAAGATTCAATCTACTATAGTCATGCCAACAGCTACTCCTTCTATTAAATATAAAAATGTTTCCAGATTAGGATCGCAAGTTGTTTTATACGGTGATGATTTTGATAGCGCAAAGAAAGAATGTGATAGGTTGAGTTCGTTGAACGGATTGACAAATATTCCTCCCTTTAACCATCCATATGTCATCGCAGGCCAAGGTACTATAGCCCTAGAAATCACCAGACAATTGAGGTTAGACAAGCTTGATGCCTTATTTGTCCCAGTAGGTGGAGGTGGATTGATCGCAGGGATTGCTGTCTATTTGAAAAAGATTGCTCCCCATGTCAAAATTATTGGTGTCGAAACATTTGATGCGGATGCATTGTATCAGTCATTGCAGACCCATCAACTGAAGACATTGGATCAGGTTGGAGTTTTTGCTGACGGTACTGCTGTCAAGGTCCTTGGTGATGAAACTTGGAAGCTTTGCCATAAGTACGTTGATGAAGTAGTTAGGGTTCTGACCGATGAATTATGTGCTGCAATTAAAGATATTTTTGAAGATACCAGACTGATTGTTGAACCATCTGGTGCGTTATCTGTTGCTGGGTTGAAGAGATATGTTAGTGATAATTCTGAAATTGACCATAGAAATAAGAATTACGTTCCAATTTTAAGTGGAGCCAATATGAATTTCGATAGATTGAGATTTGTAAGTGAAAGAGCGGTACTTGGTGAAGGTAAGGAAGTATCATTAGCTGTAACTATTCCTGAGAGACCTGGTGAGTTTGCTACATTACAAAATATTATTGATCCAAGAGCTATTACAGAATTTTCTTATAGATTTAACAATAGTGGCCCTGCAAATATTTTTGTTAGTTTTAATGTGACCAATAAGGATAAAGAATTAGCTTCTATTGTTGAATCTATGAAGAATAATGATTACGAAGTTATTAATATCTCAGAGAATGAGTTGGCGAAGACTCATGGTCGTTATTTAGTAGGTGGAAAATCTACAAAGGCTGACTGCAATAAAATTTCTAAAGAAAGATTATTCAGATTCGAATTTCCAGAAAGACCTGGTGCTTTAACAAAATTTTTACAAACCTTGAAGTATGATTGGGATATAACCTTGTTTCACTATAGAAATCATGGCCATGATGTTGGAAAGATTTTGTGTGGTTTTGTACTTCCAGAAGGCACAAGCGATGAGGACTTCCAGGATTTCTTGAAAAAAATAGGTTATAATTTCGTTGATGAAACAGACAATGTCGTATATAAAAAATTCTTACAAAGCTAGATATATATTAGTGAATAATTTAGTTTTGCATGGTAATTCGTCTAATTATAGGTTCATTAAATATAGATTTTCATTTTCATGAATATTATATACAAGATTATATTTAATGTAGCCGTACTCAGTCAGCACGACGTAAAAAGGCTTGATAAGCTTCTTGATTAATACTTATCTTCCCTGATGCTTTCATTTGCTTTTTACCTTCTTTTTGTCTCAGTAATAACTTCTTTCTTCTAGAGATATCTGCAGCATGTAACTTTTGAGTGACATCCTTCCTCTTTGCCTTAATTGTTTCTCTTGCCACAACCTTATTGTTGACTTTGGCTTGAATAGCTACTTCGAATAATTGAAACTTTAAATATTCTTTGAATCTGGTTACATATTCCTTTCCTCTACTTAACACTTGAGACCTGTGCATAACTTGAGTTAACGCATCTTGAGGTTCTCCATTTACACATAGCTCCATTTTGACAATGTCAGATTTCTTATAACCAGCGTCTTCATAATCCAATGAAGCATATCCTTTAGTACAGCCTTTAAGTTTACCAAAGAAATCTTCCACTAACTGAGCTAATGGGATTTCATATTTCAATAATACTTGTCCAGTAGTTAAATACTCCAATTCTTTTTGTATACCTCGATTGTTCTCGCAAAGTGACATTACAGTTCCAATATATTCATCTGGGATAGTCATTAGTGCATTAACGTAAGGTTCCATCAACATTTCAATATTATGATTTCTAAAATCTGCTCCAGGAAATTCATCAGGGTTTGTAACAATTGACTCTCCTCCGTCTTTGAAAATTAGCTTATATGGTACGGTAGGTGCTGTTAAAATAATTTTTGCACCGTACTCATTTTCTAACCGTTCTTTGAATACAGAAGCATGAAGTGAACCTAAAAAGCCTAACCTCCAACCAAGACCTAACGCATTTGATGTTTCTTTTTCTAATGTGACAGACCTATCGTTTAGTACCAAGTTTTCCATATGATCATTCATTACTTTAAATTCACCTCCATCTGCCGGAAAAGCACCCACAAAAACCATAGGTTTTGGCTCTTCAAATCCAGGTAGTGGTTCCAAACCCTCATGTTTACCATATTGATAGAATGTATCACCAATCATGGCTTCTCTTGGATTTCGCATACCTGGAATAATATAGGCAACTTGTCCAGCTTTTACGCAATCCATAGGCATTTTATCCGGATACATGATCCCTACTTCTTTCACATCATATCGCTTTTCTGAATGAGCTGAAAGTAATTTCATTCCCTTTTTTACGACACCGTCAACGACGTGAATTAACATGACAACACCAACATAAGGATCATGCCATGAATCAACTAATAACGCCTTAAGAGGTTTATCAACGTTACCATGAGGGCCCGGAATATCTCTAATAATTGCTGGTATTATATTTTCAATATTGAGGCCTGTTTTAGCACTTACTGGAATGCAGTCTTCTCTAGGTAATTCGAACGTAGTTTCAACCTGGTCCATCGCTCTCGGAATATCAGCTGCATCCAAGTCGATTTTGTTAATCACTGGAATCAATTTTAAGCCCATACTATATGCCAAATAAAAATTAGCTACTGTTTGTGCTTGTACACCTTGAGAGGCATCAATTAATAAAAGAGCTCCTCCGCAAGATGCGTAGGATCTGGAAACTTCTGCTCTAAAATCTACGTGGCCTGGGGTGTCAACTAAATGTAATAAATATTCTTCTTTAGTTTTAGGATCAACATAGAACATAGAGCACGTCTGTGCTTTCACTGTAATACCTCTCTCTCTCTCGACATCCAATTTATCTAAGACCTGCTTATTTGCATCTCCAGGTTGAATAACTCCAGTTAATTCCAATAACCTATCCGACAAAGTAGATTTTCCGTGATCCACATGCGCCACTATACTGAAGTTCCTATAGTTTGAAATAGGGATCTTCGCTATTCTTTCTTGCACAGATTTTATATAACTTTCTTTGTCTAGAGATATTTTTTTATCCTCAACAGCAGCAGTCTTTTTCATAGACATGCAATGCCTCGTAGTCGCTATTGTTCGAACATTACTAAGTAAGGATCTATATGAACAATGCTTTAGACCTAAATACTTTATCTGCATGAGTATAGTTGATTGTGGCTACCAGAAATTATGGAACAAATCTGGTTCTTCATACCAGACTGAAAAATTTAAGGCTGCGACGTGCAAAAAATTACTACACAATATGGTTAAAAGCTGTTTTTTCGTATTAATAATATTACATAGCTACTATTTATTGGCTTCAGCGAAGTCATTGACAAACTTGACTAAAAGTTCAATACTTTCGAGACTGACCGCATTATAAATTGAAGCTCTGATGCCACCGACAGATCTATGACCCTTCAAACCAGTCAACTTTCTTTCAGCTGCCTCAGAAACGAATTTAGCTTCCAAATCAGCATTTGGTAAATTGAAAACAACATTCATTCTCGAGCGAACACTACGGTTTGTCACTGGCATTTTATAGAAGGTTGGAAAGCTTTCTAACGCTCCGTATAACAATTTTGCCTTTTGTTCATTGGTCTTTTCCATAACAGCAACACCTCCTGATTCCAATAATTTCTTAAGAACTAAGTTTAAAATATGACAGGTGAAAATTGGAATCGTATTATAAGCTGAATTGTTCTTGACTACGGTTGGATAATGGAACGCAATTGGGGTCAATGGAATGTTTTTTGAATTCAATTCTTCATCAGAAGCTTGCTCCAACAATGACTTTTTTATAATATAAATAGTCAAACCAGCAAGACCGATATTCTTTTGTGCACCGGCCATAATTAATCCGTATTTACTAACATCAATTTCCTTGGATAAAATATTAGAAGACATGTCTGAAACTAATTCAACACCTTCCGGTAAATAATTAGGTCCCGGAGTACCTTGAAATTCGTTACCATTGACAGTTTCATTGTCGCAAACGTATAAGTAAGCTGTTGATTCCTTGTCAATTGACTTCCATTCGGAATAAGGAGGTATATCGCCATATTTCTTATCTTTGGTGTTAACCACAATGTCGGTTTCGAAACCTAACCTTTTAGATTCTTCTGCAGCTTTGGCAGACCATGATCCTGTAATCGCATAGGCTGCTTTTCCTTTCTTACCAGTTCTTTTAGTGTAATTAGCCATTAAATTATATACAATCGACGAAAATCCAGTAGTACCACCTCCTTGCATGAAAAATACTTCGTGAGTGTCTGGAATATTCATTAATTTGCTTAATTCTTCCTTAGTACTATCAATTACACCAATTGCTGGTTTAGAACGGTGAGAAATTTCACCGACACCAATATTCTCGTCGCCATACTTGATCAAATCATATGCAGCTTCTTGTAAGACAGAAGTTGGTAATAAGGCTGGTCCAGCACCAAAATAGTGTGGTTCTTCACGATTTAATGTTCTTTCTTGTGCCATTGTTTTCTGGATTGATTTAAAATGAAAAGGTATTATCTTAAGAATTTCAGTTTATAAAGAACAAAAGTGCGCATATTGAGTCATTTTTGTTCGTGAAAAAAATTGATGATAATTACGTATAGATAAGCGAAATGTTACTACCAATGAATAGCTTATTAATAATAGACTAGATATACGTGTTGCTTAATTGAAGCATATATGCCTAACGATGCTCAATTATCAAGAATATCTCGGATCTTGACACCACTAATATAATAAATGATCTCTACATCATCAGTATCATCTAATAAGCAATGCAATACGCATGCTTCTTTATGAGTTAAAAGGAAAATCACTGTTTTACAAGTTGCAACAATTTTTGATGCCATTTTCCAATCTTTTAATCTCACCAAGATCTCCTTATCTTCATGGATATCATCATCATCAACATCTTGGCTGATCACCGATCCTGGATTGTGTAAATTTGCCAAACGTAACGATTCACCATCGAAATTATTTCTGTTGGGTTTTTGCACTTCTAGTTTGTCGTTCCAACTAATTGTCACTTTAAATTTTCCGTCTTCTTCTAATACAAACCCTAAAAAGCCTCCATTTCGCCTGCTTGATTTGATATTAACCAAATCATTACTAGAAGTTTTCTTGAACTTTTCTAATCTCTTGTACGTTGATAAAAACTCTTTAGGCAACCTCATCATTAAGTCAACTTCTGTCAATTCGGGCTCTTTTAGGAGCATTATATCATCTGTATTTTTCAATATCTTGACTGGTAAACGGAACGTATGATTAATTGCATTTGAATTAATGTTTATGTTCGAGTAGAACAATGCTAAAGAAGCAATTCTTCCATTACTTATATTAATACCTTGTCCCCCAGAAGTATCTTTCTTCTGAAGTCGTATGTTTAACCCATCACTATTGGCCCTATTAAAGTTATGCAAAGTCTGTAACAATTGCTCAATATTTATTTCCAACAGAATGGTGTTGTCACGTAAACTTTGGATCTCTATCTGATCAAACATATTATTGATTTGTAGTTTACACCATACTTGTGGCTCTTGTGTAATAGATGATCCATTAACCAGTATTATTATTAGCTGCGTTGGCGTAAATCTTAATATGACAAATTTTCGTATGTGACTTATTAGTGAAAGGGTCGTCTTTAATGCTTCAATATTCTGTGTTCTGAGCTTAAGCTTCATTTCGATTGATTTTTTATTATAAATCCAATTCTTAAAATTCAGCGGATATACTAGACTCAAGGGACCTTCAGATAATAGTAGATGCCTGAAATATCATATATAACGGAAAGTGTAGGATAAAATGATATACATCATACACCATAATTTTGATTTCACTATGCGATCGCATGTAAGTAAACAAAAATTTCTAAAAATCGAAATTTATATTGATATATTAATAGATTATAAAATTTTATTATACAATATGTAAAGTTACAACTGTGCTACTTACTGACTTAAGTAACTAAGGAAAATGATGTAAATGCATTAATTCACATGAGTTTCTGGAAACAGACTGAAAGACACGCAATCATGACAATTTAGATAGGCTCTTTATATAAGTTAGACAACTCATAGAATATTATAGTTTACTGAGCAGCATCAGATAGAAATACTCGGAATGGGCATTCTGTAAATTTTATCACAATTTTCTACTTTCTAATGCATCTAATTATGAAGCCTGGGCCTTCAAGACAATAACAACCGAATCACCTCTCAAGAACATCTTCGACACAAATCTTTCTTTAGACGTGGATTTTATCTTTTTGCCCTTATTATTCTTAACGGATTCTGTCCACAATTCTTTAACATTCTCTAATATCAAATTACAGTGTCTATCAAAAGCCTTTACCTTTGCAATAAGTTTATGATTGTTACGACATGAAATAACAACGGGGTTTCCATTATTCACAGCATTCTGTAATAAAGACATAGGTCCATGTGTAAACTCAAACTCCTCCAATTTTTGAAGTTCAAGTTCAGTTAATTCTGAACGAGGACGATCTATTAATTCACTATCAATAGTTAGTAATTATTCTCAAATATCTTGAAAATTCCATTAATAAAAATGCATACGCCATTACCAAGATAATATATCTATGTATATATATAAAAGTTGTAGATACTTCACTGTAAGCTAAAGCTCTTGAAGTATTGATGCTACGGGAATTGAGACTTACACGCACACTACTATTAAATCCACATTATTATACATATTAAATCATACTATACAGGCTATTTACTTATTTACGTAGTCTTCTCGTACTGACTTAATGGAGCAGCCAATCCACAACCTCTTTTGATGATATTCTCAATACGGTCTCGCAAAACTCTAGAGTTACAATCAACAGTAAGATTCAAGTAATCAATTTTAGCTTCATTTTTACCAATTACAATTGTAGCCTTTTTACCCTCCTCACCAGCAGCAGTCTTTAAAGAATCACCAAATTGGGCTTTCAATAAAGAAGTAATACGGTGAATACGGCTTGATATTTCTGAGTTTGCGTGTGCATTTTTTTCAGGTGGAGGTGTTGATTCAATCATTGCGTCATCGTCAACTTCCTCTTTGATCTTATTGTGGGAATGAGAGCAACTCTTAGAAGTCAATTTAACAGATGCCGGAGAAGAGTCAATAGAATATAATATAGCTATCACACTATCAGCCAAGGAATCAGCCATCAAATTGTCATTAACCCATTCAACATTTATCAATAAACCTCCAGCACTTTTAGAATTATTCTTTTCAACAGAAATATCTATCATATCCATGATCACACACTCCCATGTTTCTTCATCATCTGCCAATATACTGATAAAGCCAAACATTTGCTCTAAGTGCCATTTCATTAAGGAAACATCAGCATTTATCTTCAAATTAATCTTAGACTTAACGATCGAAGTAGATAATTGAGTAAATTCATGCAAATCTTGTAACTGAAGAAGATTCAAATCAAAATCTTTAGAAACAAGAACACCTGATAATGCCTTTCCAGTACTTATTATATTTTTTTCATTAGCATTTTCATCATCCTTTTCATCGATATTATCCTTTGTATTTTCAGATTCCTTATCGGCTTTTTCATCCGATTCTGGCTTTGTTTCTTTGTCCATGTCATCATCTGATAATTCTTCTATTTTAACATTATCTTCCTTAATTTGAGTGCTAATTTCTTTCTTTAAGTATGACAATTGCTCTTCAGCCAATGTACCTAATACCTTCGCCACTTTTAGGCCTTTAATGCCAATTGTCACTTCATCGCAATTCCGAGGATTGAAAACCTTAACTTCCTGCTCTGTTCCCTTACGTGACGCATATTTACTCAATAATGCAGACTTCAACCTACCCATAGGATTACTTTCTCCGTGTACCAATATAATCTTCAGCGGATTGACTTTTTCTATAAAGCTTGCATTTTGTTGAAAATCAACATGCGCAGCAAATGAAATCTCTTCGATATTTAAACGACGGGGAATAGTCATATCAGAATTCATTGCAGATTGGATAGTATGAGGTTCAGTTAATAGATCTTTCGCCATTGTACCCTCAACCGAGTAACCTGTCATTATGACTGCATTTTTAGGATCAGGCGCCCACCTTTCTAAAAGTTCTCTAGAAACACCGTTCTGTAACATACCTGGCGAGGCTACAACAACGCAAGGTCCAAAATCTTGAAACTTATCTAAATTTTTTATAGATTTGATAAATTTAAATTGGAAGGGATTTTGTTTCTTGCTTGAATTGGTTGCTGAAGTTGTGAGACGAATGCTGTCATTCATGATATTCGTGTAAGTCTGATATACAGCCATACATTTCCTTGCTAAAGAAGAGGCGTAATATATATTTATGTTTTGTAAATCATCGTTTAGAGACCAATATTCTTCTAAAATCAATAATAATTCTTGTGCTCTTCCCAATGCAAATACTGGCATTAGGATTCTACCTCCTTTTAATAACGTAGAATGAATAATATTTGTCATTCTAGTTTCTTTTTCCAATCTTGGCTCGTGGGTAGCTGTACCAAAAGTAGATTCTGTAATCAAGATATCTGGTTTCATAGGTGGCACTTCTGCAACTTGCAAATGTCTATCTTCTTCACTAGAATAATCACCCGTAAACAATACTTTCAAACCACCTATTTCAATGAAATACATGCATGCACCCAATACATGACCAGCATGGTAAGCAGTGAACCTTATACCATCAAGCTCGATTGTAGAGTGGTAGTCAATGGTTTCAATTCTATCAAAGGATCTCATCAAATCATCATCTGTATATAAATTATTCGATCCAGTATTTGCATTAGGATCTGAGTTATTGAGCCTTGCATCGCTACCTCCTCCAATTGAAGTAACTTTCACGAAATCTGATAATAACCAACGATAGATAGCTTTTGTCGCATGTGTCATGAAGACTCGCCCGTTGAAGTTCGTATGTTGCATAACATATGGTAATGATGCAGCATGATCTAAATGAAAGTGACTTACTAACAAAATGTCAACCTTGGATAAATCATATTCATCATAGAACGGCAATGAGCTTAATCCTTGTAAACCTGGATGAACACCAGCATCTAACATAATGACTTTGTTTTTATATTCAATTATATGACAAGACCTCCCTACTTCATTACAGCCTCCAAGACCGAAAAACTTAAAGTCATCGTTACCATCAGCTGGTTGACTATCCACTGTCATGTTCGATTTATTAGATTTATTGTTTGGAAGTATATCACCATAGATATAACCTCTTCAAAAAATCTCGTTTTAATTTTTTAGTGGAAGATTTTGCATATATACAGGCTATGATTTTACAACTAGTAGATCAACTAAATTAGCTATATTATTAAATATTATACACAATCGCTCTTTTACTAAAGCTCTAAACTAACATGGGAAATTAACACATAATTCTTTGCTAATTGATACAAGTTTGCCTTCTACCAACCAGTTACAATTAGACACCACAACGCAAGATGTTTTGGCGTTGATGTCTAAATCTTATGACTTCGTGCCTCTCTAAAATATAAAGAGCTTTATCCAATGCCCCTGGACTGGCTTTTCCGCTATCTACTATTTCTCTTCTCAAAGTCTTGTAAGCAGTTGACCATCCAATTGGTAATCTTCTTCTAAGTTCTTGTTCCACTTTATTAATTTCTTTATTCATGTCACCGGTTGTAATTAAGCCACCACTGGATACACCTTGGTCTACTGCATCCATGGTAGAAGCCGTGAACAACCTAATTGCTTCCTCGACGTGCTCTTCTGAAGCAATAGGAGATAATCTCAATTTGGCTAATGATTCTGTAATACGAATAATGGCTTCTAATTGACGAATAGTGATTGGAATGGAGGACCTTTCATTCATTTCCACTTCATTAATTTGTAATCTACGTCTGATAGACACGAAATGTGACGATAATCTTTCGGAAGCCTCTGGACTTAAACGTGGTGCACATTTCAATTTAACATATTGGATATATCTTTTCATAACATCAATAGGAATTTCACCTTCTTGGTTTTGGTCCTGATTGTTATTAGCATTACCTGTATGAACATTCATAACATGTTGTGCAATTGACATATCTCTGGCCTCATTATGGTCGTCCTTAACAATAAAAATCATATCAAATCTCGACAAAATTGTAGTTTGGAAATCAATATTTTCACCTGGACTCTTCAAATCATCGTATCTTCCAAAGATTGGATTAGCTGCTGCTAAAACAGATGTTCTTGAATTCAAAATTGTAGTAATACCAGCCTTGGCAATGGAAATAGTTTGCTGTTCCATAGCTTCATGAATTGCAACTCTATCTTCATCACGCATTTTATCAAACTCATCGATACAGACGACACCACCATCAGCTAAAACCATAGCACCACCTTCTAAATAGAAATCTCTCGTAACCTGATCTCTTTGAACCGAAGCTGTTAAACCGGCAGCCGAAGAACCCTTACCAGAAGTATATACGGATATTGGAGAAATTTTTTCAACGAATTTTAATAATTGTGATTTAGCAGTACCTGGATCACCAAGTAACAAAACATTAATATCACCTCTTAATCTCATCCCATCGGGTAAAATCTTCTTAGAACCACCCATTAATAAACAGGTAATTGCCTTCTTGATATCTTGATTACCATAAATTGACGGAGCAATAGAGTTAGAAAAAACATCATATAAATTAGGCAATCTCGATATTTTCAAGAATTCTTCCTCTTCCTCTTCTGTAAAAGTTAAACCTTGTCCACTAATACTATTGTCGACGTCAGTTTGAATACCCAAAATCTTTAAATATGGGTTACGAATAGCAACAGTATTTACATTACTACTGCTCTTCTGCTTTGCCTGATAAATGGAGTATATACCCACAATCGTTACTCTTGTACCAGGAACCACTTGGTTGGTCATGTATCTGTCCGCCTGCAAAATAATGTGTCTAGGCATTTCACCAACTGGAACCATATCTGGGGATTCTTGCAACTTCAAAACCTGCTGATCAATAAACGTAGATTTGTCATGAACAATAGTGTAAGGATCAGATGGACATTTGTCTTGAGTGGAAGTATCATCAAAATTATGGGTTCCCTGACATCTGTTTGGTAAGTTCAACAGACCAAATCCAGAAGAAATCTTCTGTCTCATTGTGTGCTTACAGTTACGACACAACAACTGTACTTGTGTGGCTCTAGAGCTCAACACCGACGACGAAATGATAATTCCGCTGACTCTCACTATTTTTGAAATGTGATCCGAGTCTAAGTCTCTAATAGAAGTCTTACTGGCATTGGAAAACAATATCAACTGGCAATTAGGAAAATCGGTTGGCACCTCTTCGTTCGACAAATAAGCTATTCTCTTCCCAATGTCGGTGATGGCATTCTCAAACAACGGAATCATCTCCGCCGGGTCATCCGTCAATTTCTTGTTCAATTCCTCATTGAACCCAATTAAATGTTCAGAATTAACCTTGAGAAAGTAATTCTTAATCAACAAATTTTCTCTTAATTGATCTCTATATATGAATTGAGTGTTCAATCTAAACTCAAGGATAAATGAACGAAATGCCTTGGTAATCTCGTTAAAGGAGTTATCTTCCGGCTCTTCACCAGGCAAAACTTGAGCACCATATACTTCTGATCTTTCGTAAGACATACTTATTATCTGATCTCTTCTATACTATATTTTGGAACTTTTACAGGAAGAAGAACTGATGAGACGTGTTGGTATAAATAATTTATATCGGTGTACAATTAATTATCCTAATTAGGTTAACTACGCGTAGATGCCTAAACGGTAAAAAATTCATCAACCTGCAAACCAATGAAAAATGCCTTAGACTGCAATATGCCTATAATACTATTGATCCAACTGGTTATGGTTACAGAACAAGCGCCATTATAATGTATTTACCATTGAAGTGGATCATACCGAGGAATCCGCTGTTCATGATACCTGTGAGATGTTTTGTGAGCACATCATACGTGAATTATGCGATACCAAAGAAAAATAAGATGCCACCGAGACCAAAGTGGCTTATTGTTGAAGAAGAGATCGATGAAGCATTTTTGAAAGGTGGAAGGGGACCAGGAGGACAGAAAATAAATAAGAGTAACAGCAAGGTCCAGCTCACGCATAAGCCTACGGGACTAGTGGTGACATGCCAGTATTCCAGGTCACAAGAACAAAATCGTAAGCGTGCTAGAGAAATATTGGCATTGAAGATTGACGAGCTACAGAATCCAGAAGGGTGTCGTACAGCAATCGTGAATGAGAGGAAGACAAAAACAAAGCAGAGCAAAACGAAAAAGGCGAACAAAAAGTACAAAGTGCTAGACGAAGAGAGGAAGAAGACCAAGGAAGAAGAACACGAACTCTTGTCGGATTTTATAGATATTGATGCCGAATTTGATACCCACGTTAAGTCTACATTGAATCCCACTAGTGCAGGTGAAAGAGGACCCGTATAAAGGTGGAAATACATTAGCATCAGGTGTGACAAAATATCGTGCATATACCGATTTGATGATATATATGCAAAAATGTTTGCAACCATATGGTTGTCTGGCGTTTATTGATCTTTCAAAGAGCCATGGCGTCCAATAGTGTTGTAGTTGGGTCTATAATTGGAGCGGTGATTGGGACATGCTTTCTATTAACACTTGTTATGATTTTGTATTGCTATTGGTGTTGCGTAATTTATGTTAAATCACCCAAAGATGAGTACAATGTATCTGACCTCCATTTTCGGGACAAGCAGAGAAAAACACGTACTTTAAGAAAGATGTTTAAATCAATGTCGTGGGTATATGGTAGACAGAAGAGCACCGATTTAGAAGACCAAATCGATATAGACAAACCGCCAAGTTCGGTGACGAATTGTGATACGAATTTGAATTCAAATTCGACGTCTTCAAGACTAGCGCTCAAGAGTTATACACTTCCTTCCGAAGATGGTGAGATACCACAAGTATGTATGGGTAACGTGAAAGATGTAAATATTATCCCGTGTTTGAATAAAGACGATACAACTAGTTATTCACTGGTATATAAGGATGCGATTGATAGGTTTGATTTGTCAGATGGACTTGCAGGTACAGATTTCGACCGAAGAAACTCTTTGAAGGCTAAACATCTTTCAAATATTAGAAGGATGTCATCGTTGACATATCGAATGGATGATTCTGAGCCGAATAATTTTGTAACAGCTGTCGCCAAGCCGTCAGAAAGTGAACAATCTTACATTTCGGACCAATACGATAGCTTTACACGCACTTTAATGTTACAAAACTTGATTGGCAATTCAATTAACGCTATTAAGAAAAACGTTATTCGAGAACTTTATGATCCCTATCTGGAAAACTTGATTTCTGTTGGAGGGATAGTTGTTGTCGTTAAACCGTTCGATGGAGTTAATGATTTTGAATTTAACTCGTTACAGACTGGGGACCTTTTGCGAATTGTTCGGTTTTATGTGAAGGGAGAACTTGAGATAGATAAATGCAAAATGAAACATGACGAAGATTCGATAGATATTGCAGAATCCCAAAATAATTCATCGACTGATGCAACAATCAGAAGTGGCATATGCATCGGTAGATCTGATCCTAATTACAATAATGTCTACTGTACTGGAATTTTGCTAAATACATACCTAGAATATAACAAACAAACCCGAGATTTATCGTTAAGACTTAAAAAGGATGCCGGAGAGAATGAATTTGAATTACTCAAGGATTTCCCGCTTAAAATTGTTTCCCTCGAAACTACAGTTTTGAAGAAAGTATCTGAATCATCAGTCGCTAAAGATAGATTTGAGAATCACTTTAGTTAATAGGTTTGGATTATTACCATCATTTATTCTATTTCTAATTTTACAAATAATACACGTATTAATTATCATTGGTCAGTTGGTAGTTTTTCCAATTTTCCAAAGTCTTAATAGCATCCTTCCAATTCCTTGTTACTATTTCTAACTCTGTCTTTAGTTCATCAATCTTTTTGGATGAAAATCCATTTTCGTTTTCATTTATTTGAGCGCTATTTGAATCAACTAATTCAACAAGGTTTGACACATAATGATAATTTTTATACACATTGTTCAATAAAGGTTTAGTAATATACTCGAACGATTCAATTTCATCCAATGAATCCTTGGAATTTATACTTGCTGGATCCAAATCACCTGTAAACTCATTAAGATCAATTAGATCAGAAGGATTTGGTAAATTGCGGGCATCTAAGTGCCTGTGATTTATGTTTGATAATTGGATGTTCAAGCTTTGGTAATAATTATTTATCAATTTAATAAACCTCGAAAATTTATGGTTCTCTGAAATTAAATTTTCAATTAGTTGCGTTAAATCAATGACAATTTGTTCATATTGCTTATTTAATACGGGCTGTAACGAAGAATTTAAATGCGTGTTTGGATTAGTGTTATCTATTATTGGGTTGTGGTTGTAAATTATATTTGAATTAACGTCTTGATCAAAACTTGTTGTATCATTATTTCGAGATGAATCATAAGATAATGGAATACCAAAAGTAGTTGTAGTCGATAAGTTTTTTTTATCTAATAGCTGATTCTTCAAGTGATCTATCTCGATATTCTTCTTCTTTAGTTCTACGTGATATTTTGTTTTTATATCGGTACACCAATTTTTTAGCTTGTTCAAGTCTTGGGATTGTAATTTATTTATATGTGATAAATCCTGTACCCGCTTGGATAATTGTAATTGATCAATTTGAACAAATCTGTTCAATCTTGACTCAGACTGGTCAACCTGGTGCTCTAGCGATTCTATCTTTTTCTGTAAATCTCTGATTGTGGAGTCTTTCTTGCTGATGACTTTATTAAATGATTTATTCTGGGCTTTATTTCTCTCAATCGACTGAAGTAAAGAATAAATAATATTGATTATGTTTTTATCATTATTATAGATGGCTTCGGTTACCTTCAATTCATCCAATTTTGCTGGTTCTTCTTGTATATTATTCTCAATTTGGTCTTGTACTAGATCTTTCCAGTTTATAGAATTGAAATTAAGTTTCTCTGTAATATATCCTTTTGATATGAGTGTAGAATTTATTAAATCAGATGCATTCAAAATAGCCTCTGTATCAAGATAGGGAGAGTCAGATGCCATTTTTGATGCTGTTGTAGATGCTGCTGTAGACGATAATGTTTGTAGAGATCTAAATGTAAACAATAAATTTGCTGCGAGAGTAATACTGATTTGAATTATAATATCCTCCACATTTTTTTTTATCACTCTATATTGAGCAAAGCAATTGATATATAATTGATGATGAATATAATCTTCTATTAGTCTAAATGATATCTATAGTTCCTATATTAACAAGAGCCGATTTGCATACGCTGTTATAGTTATAGCCCTTGCTTTGAATCATAACCTTTGAGGGAAATTCTTCGTAAATTTTAGATATGTTGAACCAATGGCTCATCTATAAGAATAATACGGGTTATAGTAAAGCATAATTTGAAACTAATTCTAAATATTGACTTAGTTTGTGGTATTTGGCCAATAACTGCTTTCTTTTTTGGCGTATTTTTTGTAGTATATCAAGAAATTACTAGTTATAGGCGTGTGTTTTTTTTAATTGAGAGACGATCTAGTTGTGATGCCTTGACAGAGCTTAAGGGCATAGGTGGCTCAAGAGCGCTATTAAGTATTCCGTGTCATGATAGAGTCAATCGGATTTAATTCTAAAACGTCAATTTTTCAGTCCAATTAATATTGTAACTTCTACAGACTATTAAATTCTATTTTATTTTATTTGCAAACTTCGTATACAGTTGTATAAACTAATGAAAGTAATGAAAATGTCAAATAAACAATACTTAATTTTTCAATTCATAATAAAAGTGTATCAGTATAGTTTAGTGGTGTTCTTCTTCTTCTTCAAAGACAAACCAGTCTTCTTCAGCAGCAGGTTCAGCACCAGCAGAAGATGGTTCAGCAGCTGCAGTTTCAACGTCAGATGATTCATATTGACTTAAAGCATCAGCAGAAATTTCAGATTCTGGGACAGATGGCTTGTTTGGTAATTGAAATGATTTAACAGAGCTTTCAGCGTCTTTGTTAGATAATGGAGTTGGTTTGAATGCTTTGATTTGTTGAATATATAAATCAGAAACTAAGTTACTTCTTTGTGGACTAATAGAAAAAAGTCTTCTGGCACTTAAGCTACGCTGAATAATTTTGTTAGTAAATTCACCCGGTTGGAGAATCATCATAATTGATGTTTTTCGTTATTTCCATGCTCCGAAAAAGCCATCAATACACTTCGGTACTCAATGTTAATACATACAACTGATTGTCTAAACATTATAAATTCCTTGTTATGTATTAATTAACGTTTCAAGCCTTAGGTTCTATTTATCCTAAGTATATCCAATTCTTTTACCGAGTATCGGTGGGGTCGTGTACTTTTGACAATTTCTACGAACACAATTTTATTGGTTGAACTTTGGTCATATGACCTACATACTATACTAATATGAAAAGCATCATTTTGTCTACAGGTAGAACTAGTTGCAATTTGAAGTGAATTATAAGGATTAAAGATGCCCAAATATTATTGTGATTATTGTAAGTCGTATTTGACTCATGACACCATGAGTGTGAGGAAATCACATTTGATGGGGAAGAATCATATCAGGTACTACTGTAATTACTATGAGATGAAGGCGAAGGAAACAGGAATATGGGACCCATTAGACTCTATGTATGAGATTAATTTGAGTTATTTGAACAAGGGAGCGCCAGGTGTATCAAATGAAGGAAATACGAGCAGTCTGAAGGGAGATTTCAGCTTACCACCCCCACCAAGCTTGACAAATTATCCAAATCCTCCACCTTCAGTATTTCGGAACACAGAGGAGTACCAGCAGTCGATAGCAGAGCATACACAGAATCAGGAAACATACTAGACTGCGTAATGTTTTCATATGGTCGGAAAAGGATGAAGACCATATAAAAGGTAAGATTACACCAGTAACTTGGTTTTTTTTGAGCTGCATTTTGTCCAATAATTAGCCATAAGACTATTCGGGGTCCTTGTCGAGATTGGCTAATAAAATTAGCTAAATCGTACCCTGATGGGTGACAATTGTATATTAGATGGTGATCATTGTTTGCACTAGTGGCAATAAAGGACAAATGCATCGCAGGATTAGTTGGCAATAATACGGTAGGTTAATAGAATAAATAATAAATATAATGGCATTGACACGAGTGAAACACATCCGAATTACATCGTAAACTTACACACCTCATATTTCAAACTAAATTAAACTTTATGTATTACATCAATAATGTAACCTATATAGAATTAGCAGACAAAACTCAAACGATTTATCAAGCAATTAGTAGAAGATCTACAAATCAGCATCATCTTCATCAGGCAATGGCAAGGCAGTGGCTTGTTCCATTTCTTGTTGATATCTTTGCATCAAGTCAGCATCAACTTGGACTTCTGGTGGAGCCAATGCTGGAGAAGCAACGAATTCTAATTGAGGGTTACCAACCAACTTTCTGGCTAACCATAAGAATGGCTTTTCGAAGTTATAGTTGGATTTGGCAGAGATATCGTAGTATTGCAAGTTCTTCTTTCTGTGGAAAGTGATGGTCTTGGCCTTAACCTTACGTTCCTTGACATCAACCTTATTACCACACAACACAATTGGAATGTTTTCGCACACTCTGACCAAATCTCTATGCCAGTTTGGAACATTCTTGTAAGTGATTCTTGATGTCACATCGAACATAATGATCCCACATTGTCCATTGATGTAGTATCCATCTCTTAATCCCCCGAACTTTTCTTGACCAGCAGTGTCCCACACATCGAACTTCAATTCCCCGAAGTTGGTGTGGAATCCTAATGGGTGGACTTCGACCCCTAAAGTAGCAATGTATTTCTTTTCGAATTCACCCGTTAAATGTCTCTTGACGAATGTGGTCTTACCGGTACCACCATCTCCGACTAAAACTAACTTGAAAGTTGGAACTTCTTGAGCCATGATTGATTGATTGATTAATTAATTATCTGACCGATTAATAATTTATCTGGAAAGAAAAGCCTTTTATTTGCCATGTATCGACTTCTCATTCCTTGTGTTTTTGAATCACTAAGGAAATCATCGAAAATTTTTGAAATTCCCTGCTTATGTCATCGGACCCATTGCGGGAATATTTGACTACCGGAAGCGGTAGTATGTGATGGTATGTGGAAGATGTAGTTGGATGTCGCGCTCGACGTGCCATGTCGCGATGTCGTTCTAGGTTTGGGGACGCCTTTGATTCGCCGGGTCTCGACTGCCCGATCTGGCAACAGATGTCTTATGTGCGCCTATTCGTTTTGCCACAAGGGGGTCCTCTGGTGCAGCGTACATTCCATTCCACTGCGACGGGTTCTATGGTGCGACTAAACCACCCACCAGCGAGTGGTGTTTTCCCGTTGATGGCCTAGATGAACACTTGACAAGCATCAACGCCAAACAAATTGCTCTCCACTTCAAACATATCCGTTCACCGGCCAGATCAACCATGCTGCCTGATATTTGTTTATAAGTACCGCGCACCATCAACGCGCATGAATCACACAGATTATTTTTGCCGATTCAGTTCCTCCCTATTGTTGGGGGATGTTCTATAAATACTACATTATAGCCTGGAGCAAATCATAGCCCGACACGATTTGTGGTAAGGCTGTCAATAAGACAAGCATAATAGTACCTTACCGGTAAAGTAAACCAATAGTAAATGTTGAGGTATAGAGAGTAGTAGTCTATATGAAATAATATGGGTGTCAACATGTAGTTCTACAGTAAGGCCAAGGGGAATGCGAGACGAATGAGAGCGAGAAGAATGAATAGAAACACATGCAGACGGGGTTATGCGGTTATCGTGAATTTAGTAAAATGTAGGTCAATTTACAACGGTATTAAAGGCGACCTAGGCGTACTGGTAGTATAGCGAAATTGTTCTGTACGCAATTTTCACTTTTTTATCGCGGGAAAGTAAATTGCACACCTCCCTCAAAATTGAGAACTGGCAACAAAGAAAAAATCGCTTATATTATTATAGAGGGTTTTTTTCCAAACAACATACCATATATTTGATATCTATTAGGTATACTTATTGCTAGCTATAAAGAGCTACAGGCCAGTTAATAAAAGGTGCACGAGACCAGGGATATTTGCTTTTAAAACTGCTAAAAAGACCTCGAAACAAGGTTACCCCATTCAAAACAGACTAATTAACCGTCGACGTCCAAGGTTGATAAAAAGGTGATCTATACATCTAGACCACATCCAATCGTTTCTAGAGCCATAGGAAAGCGATCGTTTAATTTGCACCACGAAAGTCGGGGACTATACATTTCTCGATACATTGCTATACCACTAGGTATTCAACGCGCTAAGTGTCATAAAAATATACGAGCCCACACCAGGGAAAAGTACGTGAAAAGAACAGCCATACAACTTTAGAATGTATCCGCACCAAGGAGTATATTATAATTCGTACCACGGGCCCCAAGGGTATTATCCGGCCGATATGGCTCCTCCGGTCACCCCACTTGATTTATCGTACAGCCAGTCGATGTTACCATCGAATTTGCTAGTGAACTCGCCGTACATCCAGCAGACACAGAACATGGTACCAATGTCGCCCATTCTTCCCAGACAGTACGCGCCTCCGCCACTTAATCTCTCGCACGGGAACTTGGCCCACCACCAACAGCAATTACTGCAGATGCATTCACAGCATCAGCACCAAAGCCAGCAGCATCATTCACAGCACCCACATTACGTTCCAAATTCGCCCTACTTGACTCCGCTAAGTAGCAAGAGCAACTTGGAGCAACTCAATCTCTCTCGTACGGTCATATTGAAGAATATCGATGACAACGTGTCGTTGAACGAGTTATTGAATTCTATCGATTTCGGCCCTATTGAATACTGTAAGATGTATTCAAGACCGGCGCCAGAGCGCTTTAGAGATTCAAAGAACTTGAAGACTTGTGTTATTTCATTCGTTAACTCGAAGATTTCGATTAATTTCCATATAAAGTATTCCAAGAACCGGTACAATTTGAATAAGTTGAAAGAAACGTTGAGAAATTCAAAGTATTTAAAGGTTTCCTTAAATGAGTCGACTAATGCTAGTTCCAATGGAAATATTAATAACTTTAACAGTCATTTAAATAAGCAGGACTACATTAAATTAAAGACCCTTAACTATATTTTGGAATTTAATGCCACTCGGTGCTTGCTAATTAGGTTACATTCCAATGATTTTACTTCGTTTAATATTGAAGGGATTGAGAATGATGTAACGAGACAATGTTCAAAGTTCGGAGAGATTGAGGATTTTAAAATTTCGACAAATGAAACTAAATCTGAAGTCAAGTGTTTGATCCATTTCACATCTATTGATGCTGCCATCAAGTCGTATGAATTTTACTTGAAAAAAATTCAGGCTGATAAGCAAGAACAAATTGACTTTGAAGGTACAGACAAGTCAGAGGACGCTATTGAATATGTTCAAGCATCTTTCCATAAAGATAGATGTGACAGAACTGTAATAGATAAACCGTCGTCAGGCTCGAATACCAACTCACCGATTCTCAGTAAGAGGCAAACGACGACCATAAATCAGAATAACATTATTCCTGAAGATTTGGATGAACCAAATCCGGATACAGAAGGCGAAGAGTTAGAAAATTATCGTGAAGAGTCGGTATTGAATGATCAAAGTATTTTAGAAAATAACGAGTCAATTAGGAACGCTTTACTCTCGAATGCAAAAGATCCTCAAGAACCAAACTACGATCAAATCAGCTCCAAGTCTTCATCATCACAGAATATCGATCAGAGTTATATTTCTAATACCTCTTCATACATGCTCAACACCTATCCTTCGATAAATCAATCTCAAGTAAGAATGCAAATGTCACAAGTCCCTAACAATAATTCTGCATCATCCTATCAGTACAATCCCGATCCATTTAACGTCGGTAATAGAACTATTTATTTGGGTAATTTGCATCCAAACACAACCGTTGAGGAGATTGCAAATAATGTAAGAGCTGGAGGATTAGTTGAGTCGATTAGATACCATCCTGATAAAAGGGTTTGTTTCATCACGTTTATTGATCCTACCATTGCTTTGAAGTTTTATTTGAATCACCAAGTATTACATCAGTTGATTATTCATGGATACGATATCACAGTTGGCTGGGCTAAGAATCATTCTGGAGCTTTAAACAGAGATATTTCATTGGCAGTCACAGCTGGTGCATCAAGAAATGTGTATATTGGTATCAAGTTAAATAAGGATGAAAATAATGGTTTATCGAGTACACCAAAGGATGAAAAGATAAGATTACCAAATGAATCTGTCTTGAGGTCAGACTTTTCAAAATTTGGTGATTTAGAACAAATCAACTTTTACCATAATAAAGATTGCGGCTTTTTGAATTTTATAAATATTACTGACGCTATTAAATTAGTGGACTCGTTTGAATCTAGAAATGTTCCTAAGATCAATAAAATAGTAGGTGATAGTGGTGAATTTTATGACAAATATAAGGTATTTAAGATTAGCTTTGCAAAGGATAGATGTGGTAACCCACCGAAATTCAGTTTCAAGAAAAAGCTTGGTAAGAGAAAGAATAAGAAACCAGAAGATGATTCGGTAATCAGTAAACTTGATCATAATGAAGATGGTCGCGAGGAGGTACACGAGGAAGCCATGAATGAAGAAGCAGCTATGGTTTTTGGTATTATGAGTACTGCTGAATCTATAAAGGAAATTAGTACCTCAAACGAAGATAAAGAATCAGAAGAGACTCGAAAAAAATTCGAACAGCCTGATATTACTATAAGCGGGGAAGCGGAAAAAGAGAATAATAAGAATGATGAATATGAGAAGACGCAAGCAAATATTAAAGATGTTAAGCGTGAAGTGCCTGATACTGCAGATGAAGACGATGAAGACGATGAAGACGATGATGATATTTCCATTATCATAGGGTCTGATGAGACTACATATTCTACAAGAGATGAATTGAAGAAATCACGTAATAGCAGTGATAAATTCTATAATAATAAAGTTAATACTTCAGATACCTTTATTCCTTTAAGAAAATCATCGAGAAACTCGTCTAATATTTCATTAAACTCGCATAATTCAAATTATACGAAGTACTATAATCAAGATTCAAAATTCCCACCTTCGCCTTATCACCACCATCCACAGCAGCAACAACAGCTCTATTACATGCAAAACTCACAAAGGCCGATGGCTAGTCGAATGAATAGCTTTGGTTATGGTGGTTATTACCCACCTCCAAATCCAAACCCAAATCAGTATACTTACACTGCGAACCCTTCAAAGAACCCATACTCAACTTCCGGTTCACAAGTTATGTCTCAATATTTGGCTAAATCTCAACATGATAACTTATTATACGCTGCGAGTATTTTATCCAATGACGTAGGTATGGATGAAGATAAGGAATATCATTATAAGCCGAATAGTAGACGGAATTCAAAAAAATAACTTAGAACGGTGACGTAAAATGATAATTTATTGGCTTTAATTTATATGATCGTGTTTGATGTTTCTATGCTATACTTTTGATACTGCTTTCAATTGCGCCTCAAACTGAATAGATACATTATTATTAGGGACAAATAATGCTCAAGTGAAAAGTAAGCTGGATTTACTTGTATAAAAACATTAATGTTTTGTTAATTAGTTATTTCGAATGCAAATAAAACTTTATTATTTATATACGTATTAGTATTAATAGTGATAAATTAAATATCAATTACAATTGATCCATAGGTACCAATTAACGAGAAAACCACACCAACAAGTATTCCCAACTTTATCAATAGCCTCTCCATGACTGTAATATCATCGTCATAGAATTTCAAATAGAAAATGAGCGGTAGTGTCATACAGATAGTAAAACAAATTGCACTACCTAAGAAGGAGATTACCTTTCCAAAAGAATTGAAAATTAAAGAAATTAACAATAATAGCACGCAAAAGACAACCCGAGATAAAACTCTTTTGATTCCATAAACCTCTTGTCTTATTCCGTTTTTGATAACGGTATAATTAGTTTGATTAAGCTTGAAAAAACTTTCATAGACAGTAATAATTGGTCTGGTGATTAATGGTAATTTTGAAACTGGCAATAACCCCATAAACAAACAAATTAGCGGCCTGACCCAGTCAGGGTAGTTCTCATTTGTCATCAAATTTTTAGTAAGAGAATCCTGGCAATCTATTCCAAACATCAAAAACCCAATTGCCGCAATTAAATAGTCCAAATTGAATGTGATACCGAAGGCTATATTACAACATTTTGAAAACTTTGACGGGTGCCTCATATCCCTATACAACTCAGGGAATACAGGATGCCCGCCCCAAGGAGCCATAAATAATCCAAGACTTAGTAATAAATACTTATACTCGGATGGCCATAAGTTTGTAACTGCGGGGGTGACTAACGATCCTGGGGAAGTTGAAGTTAAAAGCCCACAAATAATAATAACCACTATAAGAAATGAAGTGCAAATGATTCCCAATAAGCTACATAAAGACAAAACTGACAATGGCAAGAACGATAGTACAAATAACACAGCGACTATAATGCCCTTCAATAAGCGCTTTTGTAATGTTGGGAACAAAATATGAAACGAATCGCTAAATAAAATTATCAACGAAATCATGGCACCAAGAAGATCAAATGAAAATACAAGAGTGACAAGAATGTTAATTCCTCGACCGCCATATAAATGTGCTATATCTCCATAACTCATTAGATGGGGATACTTTCGCAACATCTTACCCAACATCTTAGCACTGATATTCGTAACTATCGAACTGAATAATAGCATCAATGTACCAAGAATCCATCCTGATAAACGAAAGCCAAACGGCAAGGATAACATTCCAATCCCCATCAAGGTATTTATGCAATTAAAAATGGTTTGTGGAGCAGTAGAATCACCAGTAATTAAACGCTCTGAATCAGCCTTACTTGTTCGTCTTGATAATAAAGGAGACTCTTCATCATGATCGAAACTAAATGTATTTATTTGGTCAAGTCCTCTTTCATTCCCTCTGGGACTGTCATCGATTGCACTTTCTCTAACAGCATCATCTAGTGATGTACATGGACTTAGATCATCTTCTGTCCCTTGAAGTATTGAAGTCTCAACTAAACTCAGCCCTAAATAAGACTGAGCTCTAGTGTATGATGATGCGAACTTATTGATCGAATTGGCACCACCTATATCTAAAAATGATCGTCTTCTTTCCTTTGGGTGATTGCAGCAATCATTCTCATCGTTATCCGAGGAATGACTCATTTTATCGTATCAGTCACTTCTCTTAGTAGAAATGATAATGTAACGATGCTTACAAGATGTAATTCACAATGTGGTTAATGTTAATGTTTGTGCAAGGCGATACAACTAAGTCAAGATTTGATACAATATTTTTCATGATTCATCTTGGTTATGAGCCACGTTATTGAAAAAAATTGTAATGAGGTTAAGGTTCAAACTTATTAGGCTACTCTGGGAACCTATTTGGACCCTGCAAACAACCTGCTCAATAGTCACTATCATTGAATCCAAAGAATTTTCATATATGCATGATAATGATTTGATTGAGGCAACACTGTTCCGTTCCACTTGTGGTTAATGTTATTGTGGCACAACAAATTCTGGACCTTTATATTAAAGTAGGTTATGAATAGAATCTAATGCTTACAGTAATTACCATTTTCAGTTCGCATGATTCTTATTGGATTGAAAGTACTGACAGGGTCGTATACATAGTCAGTAGAATTTATAGTTGCAATTTTTTGATCGTATCAAGGAATACACTTTAGTGGTTGCCTGAAAATCTAACGATGTTTAATATCTGACAATAAGATGATACTCCAAATACGACCATAGCCTTTCGTTTCTGCACACTTAAAGTTTAGCGTGATGATTCGTTTCCGACATTATGTGAGCAAAAGTGAGTTGAAGCAATTTGCTGCAGGTGTTGAAAGTACAAATATTAGTTTTTATCCTGCGTATGATCTTCCCAGCTTTTTAGCTGCAAAAGTGCAGTGGAAAACGATTCCGTTGTAGTAATTACTGGAAGAGTATTTCAATTAAAACGTTATTCATGAGTCTCCAGTGCACACTATTAGCAACTTGGAAGAGTAAAATACTGTATTTGTTTTATTTGGAATGTTTATTTCGTACTGCTCTACTTTCCAACTTCTAGTTCTGGCCCTTAAAAGTTGCATAATCTTGCAGTCATTACAATTTATAGGCAAGAAGGAAATGATTCAACGGGGTATTCTTTATTAGTATCCCGATATATCCTAAAGGGTGGAGCTTATATACATTATTTTCTAGTTTTAGAGGACCGATCAAACAAAATAATATTATTGCCTTTATAGAAAAGCTGCTATTGAAGGGTCAGATTTTTTTTTCTGCTAGTAATTTACGTTACCTATTAGTGTTATCATAATTTTAACAAGTTGTTATATTATATATATTAACAAAATTAGACTGTTGATTCATCTAGCAGGTCTTAGTTTAAGAAGAAATTGATAAAGTTGACTTTTTACAGCCGTAAGAAATATTAGTTGCTCTATTCAACCTGAATTCAGCCAAATATTATGACGGGCCCTGGTCACCAAATTTATTATAACAATAACACAAATGATTCGAATTCAGACCAGATTGTAAATCCCAGTCCAAACTCCAATTCAAACACTCAATATACCAACCAGCAATCTGGCCTGCCACTTGAACCATTACATTCCATCCTGTATCACGTATACCCTAACTCAAGACTCAAGAATACATTTAATGAGCCTAACTTTACGTTCCAACAAATGTATCAATCATCATCACAACCGCAAGAGTATTATAATAATGAATACCCGACACTTATCAACCAAAGCCCATTACCACTTAGTCTGAATATCCCTCCATCCGTTGAAGCTCAAGGTCAAATGATAGGCTTGCAACAAAGTCAACCAAGTAATTATTCGGGTACAAATGTGCTTTTTCAATCATCGACAGATGGTGCAGTGAGAAATAGGCAGTCTCAGACGACAAGAGTTTCCCACTCGCCACAATCTTCTAATAGTACTCATCTGAGGAATTCTTCTGCAAGTACCAAGCGACATAGTTTTGATAACCTGGAATTTGTGAAGCCAGATAAGCCTCGTATTGCCACCACATTTTGGGAAGATGAGAAAACAATCTGTTATCAGGTGGAGGCTCAAGGCATTCTCGTTTCCAGAAGAGAAGATACTAATTATGTTAATGGTACTAAGTTGTTGAATGTTGCTGGTATGACAAGAGGTAAAAGGGATGGAATTTTGAAAACTGAAAAAACTAAAACCGTTGTCAAAGTTGGTGCGATGAACCTTAAAGGAGTATGGATTCCTTTCGATAGGGCTTCAGAAATCGCAAGGAACGAAGGAATTGATGGATTATTATACCCATTGTTTGTTAAAGATTTGAAAAGTTTTTATCATGAAAAGGGTTCAATGCTAAGGCACGACAGTTACTTGAAATCTTTAAACTCTGAAAATCTAAGTAATATTACTTTATCAGATGTCAGCCTGCCAACCATTCAAAGTGCCATTATTCCGTCAAGCAACAATAATTCTCATGATAAGGATATTAAAAGCGTCGAGCATCATGAATACTTCGAAGAAAAGTCCCCCTCTCCTAAAGATTTAAAGGCAGGGAATGCATAGCAATTGAAAATTTGCAGCTATTTGTCCATATTACGAATACTGACAGAACTAGTCTACAATAGAATCAACAATGTCACATACATTACTATCAAACGTCAAACAAATATACTTACGTACCGTATCTTTTCTTCTATTAATGATTGATAGGAGGATATGATTTATGTATCATATTTAACTTATTCCATGTAATTTATTAATATATATGCTGGACGTATATCCCATCGAATTTTTCCTTTTGAAAATTCTTCGAACAAGTTTAATAAAAGAAAGAAAGTTTATTACTATAAAGATATAAATGAATAATAGCAAGGATGTTTTTGCCCCTTTTGTTTTGTATTTAATTTCCAAATTTTTATTCGGCTTTGTCCGATGAAACTAATGTTCCACGAAGTTTTTGTTGAGCTTCGATAGTTTCAAAAAGACCCTTGAAAGTACCCTTACCAAAGCCATTGTGATGATGTCTTTGAATTATTTCAATGAATAACGTAGGGCGATCATGTAATGGTTTCGTGAAGATCTGTAAGATATAATTGCAAGTTTTGGATGCATTATTACGGGTTTCGGGATCATAATCAACAAGAATATTCAAGTTTTGAATGCTATTAAAATCCTCCTTAAGGATAATATCATCGTTCATCAATCTTTGCTTCAAAGTATCATAATACTTCTGGGAAGCAGGATTAAATTCAATGCCTCTTTTTCTCAAGGAAGTAACGGTTGCAATTATGTCATTAGTCTTGAGGGCTATATGTTGCACACCTGGGCCACCATTAAAGTCGTAAAATTCTTCAATTTGACTCTTTTTACGGCCTTTAGCAGGTTCATTAATAGGCATTTTGACTTTTCCATTACTTGAAGCCATAACGATTGATTTTAAAGCCGTCTCACCAGTGAAAACATCCTTTTCATCTACAGACCAATATTTATGGAATCCGAAAATATTGGCATAGAACCTGGCGTGTTCCATCATTTGGTTCCAACTATAGTTTTCAACGCAGTGATCTATGCAATCCAATTTTATTGGAGGTAAAGATTCTAATTGGTGCATATAGGTTTCTGGCTTTTCAATAATTGATTTCGTATAGTTAGGGAGAAATGGACCCGAATAATCTATGTTTTGAATCAATGTATGATGTATATCAGTATAAGGAACTGCAATTGTAGCTAATTTAACGGAACCATGAACATCAGAGATTGTTTGGGGTAGCTTTATGATGTAAGCACCAGACTCAATAGCCTTCTGGAACGCAGAATCAACGTCAAGAACATTAAAAGAAATATCCATTACTCCTTCGCCATGAATCTTAACAAATTCCTGGATCAAAAATGATTCGAAATTATCCTGGATAGCTTTTTTAGAGGTTTCCACACATTCATTAATTGAATTTCTAATGGTGGAAATTGCAGCCGTGAAGTTTGTTGAATTTATGATTGAACGTTCCAAATTCTCTTTCGCAGTTTTAATATCCATTGCGTATTTGTATCTATCAAGATTTTCATCAACAATCTCAGCTGTAAGTTTGATTATCTTTTCCTTCAATGATTTCAATATATGTGCTTCATCAGCAGAATAATCTAATTTTATACTCAAAGCCTCTTCTTTGGACATTGGGACCGTTGGGTAGTGTTCTGCAACAGATTCAAGCGTGTTGATAATTTCAAACAAAATATGGCCATTTCGAACAACATGTGATGCAAGTCTTCTTGAGTTGGTTTCCAATCCACGGTAAGCAACTTCTTCAAAACCCATGGATAATTCCAAGTATTTGGCCATTTGCTTAGCATTTGTACTACAAATCTTCAAAGAATGGAATCCAATAAATCCATCTTCTGGATAAGTTGTGTTGATATGACCATTCAATAATAGCTCCTCAATTGATTCATTCTTTAGTGGATCGTAGTCATTTGGGAAATAAGGCAATTCGTTGAGAAGGGAATCGATGTTTAAGGAGGAATTGAACTTGGCATCACTCATAATGAATTATTTAGATAGCTTTTTTTTTTTGGCAATGCAATAAACCTTCTTCAATTAAATATTACTAGACAATAAAATATCAATTGCAACGAGGAATTTGTAACTCTTATAAAGCATTCAGAACTCTTTGTACACCAAAATTTTGCAGCCGTTTAATGCAAAAAGGAATGAAGACCACAAAAATAAAATATTAAAAGCGCTAAATCTACGAGCATTCCTAAATTCTATTCCAACACATTACACTAATATACATTCAAAAAATATAAAATTAATATGAATCACTATTCTCCTCCTTTATCGAGCCTTTAGCAGATACGTATGCAGTATTATCGTCGGCAGTATTATTGTCGGCGGTGTCAGCGGTATTATCGTTGGCTTCATCCAAGTTCTTTTTAATTGCAGCCAATCTAATTCTATTCTTTGCACCGAATACAAGGACTGGATGGAAAGGAACAAAAACTATAGCAGTAATTGCAATCATTAAGGCGTCCAAGACCATGATATATACTTCGTGTGTAATAAGATAACCACTGAAACCTTGAGCCAACTCAACCACTCTATAAATACAACGAATATAGACTGATACCACGGCAATAGTCATGGCTAAAGGAAACCAATAGAAAAGTTTTCTAGTACGAATTTTAGCAAATTGGGGATTATAATAAGGTTCCAAATATTTCGTTCTATAAGCATAAGCCGACTTTGTATTGAACAACATCTTGACGAAATTCCCAACAGATACATTATTCAAGACAGGATCATATTTACTTTCATCGTTAGAAGTTTCATTTTTCAAGGGCCTATGCTTGAAAAATGTCTGAAAAATGAAGTGGAACCAGAATAATAAGAAAAATGACATTGCAAAAACTTGAAATGCAATACCTGCGATCATAACATACGAACCTGGTCTAGCATCTTCAAAATTATTCGATGCATAAGAAGCTGCACCACCTCCACCAGCTTGAATGATTAACGATAGAACATCGCACGTAATGAAAATGTAGGAATACCACATTGGGCGCAAAATTGAATATTCTCTTCCGTATACTACAACCATTTGCGCAAACAAGTAGTATATACCACCCATGATGAATGCTGGGGCAATAGTAAGACAAACCAATTGCAAGATGTAGTAGTTCATATCTGTCATATCCGAGAATGACATCACTCTCCCGATGAATCCTGCAAATTCTAATCCTATCCCACAGAAAAATGCAACATTAAACCAATGGAATCTTGACTTCCAGATCATGAGCGTAAAATACAAAAAGGTTATGATAAATATCGTAAGGTATATAATATTAGCAGGACGACTCAAACTGCGCATGGAATAAACATTCTCTTCCCATTCCAAATCTTTCAAATTCAATGTTGCATTGAAGATTGCTTGTGTAGCCATACTCTTGACTGAATTATCTGTAGCAGTTGCTATCTCTCCTTCTGCTTGAAGAATGGACAATGAAGCTTCAGCTCCCCTGATATTTCGGGATAAAGAAATTAATTCTGGTTTAGCAGTGGCGGTATGAATTCTTGCCGTGGCAGATGTTAACGTTTCGATCAAACCCGAACTTTTAGTTGCAGCAACTGATCGTAAGGTGGTAGAAGTCGGAATGGTCGAAGGCGACCAATTCATCGACTCAAAGTTCATAGAAGACATATCTTCAACTTGACTATGTATAAAATATACAAGAATAATTATACGAATAGTAATAATGTCTATATTTATACATTTGAAAATTCTCACTCCGTATACTTCGGAATTAGTCGGATTTAATATGAGGCTTACTAATTTTTACTTGGTATTATCACCGCATATTGCTTACTATCAACCAAACATAGCCAGGCATAGACACTATGCATTACAACCTGACATACGCATTATATGTGATTAAAGGGTCAAATAGTCAGTATATTGCTGATATATCTAGAATATGGATTACTGGGAGTACATATTATAGCGAAGTTTTGAATGGCTGCACATAGTAAAAATAAATTTTTATCTCAATTAGTCGAAAAGAGGTAATTACGAAAAATCCGATGTTTACGTATTTACATAGATTTGTTGATCATCAGACTAACACTTAGTAATTATAGATTAGGAAATTTATATATAGACGAATTGATCCCATATATATTGAATTTTCTATTGTAATCAATACTGTATATTACAGGGACCTATTAGACTTGGGAATCGATAATCCACTAGGAGTATGTCGTTGACTAAATTAGGTACACAAAAGCTGTACTTGACTAAATGGAATATATGGAATATGCATTTCAACTATTATACAAAACTATTAACAGACCAGAATAGTGCAGCCGTACAGAAGAAAATTTTTGTTGTAACAATAAACTTCACTAAGCCGCAATGTTGGTTTGGATTGATGGTTCTTGTTCTTCTTGTTCGTATTCAATTTCAACTTTAGGTCTTCTCTTTCTCTTGTTTGCTTTATCATCTACAGCCGCTTTACGCTTAGAAGACTTATCTTCACTATCCGATTCGTCGTCAGATTCTTCGGAAGCAGATTCTTCAGAAGAATCGTCCAACCATTTTTCTAAATCTTCTAAGTCCACTAATTCGTCGTCGCCGTCATCTTCCACATACTCGACTTCACCAACATCACTTTCATCGTCACTTTCGAGTTCAACATCGTCTTCATCTTCTTCCTCTTCTTCTTCTTCATTATCGACTTTGCCCAAAACCTTCTTCCAAATGTTTTCGTCGACATTCAATGGCTTATCACCATAGGCACCACTCTTCAATCTTTCTAATAATTCCTTTTCGATAGCCTTTTCAATCTTAGCCGCCGCTAAAGCCTTTCTTTCTCTGTTCTCTTCTCTTCTCTTGACCTTATGTTTAACACCAACATAATGTCTTTCATCTTCTCTTAATGCTAATCTTCTTTCGGTAATAGCAACTTGGGTTAATCTGGTTAATCTCTGTTTGCATTTATGAATCAAAAACTTTTGCCAATACTCCAAGTGGCCATCAATCTGGCTCAATGCTTTGTTGTAATTCTTAGATAATCTGATTCTTTCCCACCATTTAGATGGCATATGTGTTCTTTCAGCTGTCTTCATGTACAAGTATAATTTACCATCAACATTCTTAACGGTAGCATACCTTGAATTTGCCAACGGACAAGATTGACGAGAACATAAACCCGAGACATTATATTCATTTCTGCAAAAGTTTTGCTCTTTGGTAGTCTTAATTTTGAAAGCACAGAACTGCTGATTTATAACTTGCCAAACAATTTCGTCGGACATTATGGAGTACTCGTTTAATTATGCTATTTGAACTGAAACTGAATTAATGTGAAAATGGTCAAAGATATAATTTTATATATGCTTTTGATGTCTTGATACAAGAAAGTAATACCCTGGTTAATTTCTCCTGATCAATAATGTTTAAACGATCTATGAAGTCTATTATTAAGTTGTCAACCACTATCAAAACTGTATGAAAATTTTATTAAATCATCTATGTCTATTAGAAAAGAGATGAGAAGACTTAAAAAAAAAAAAAATTATTCAACGACAGGGCCGCGTAACGCATGGATCACATGATTTCGATATAATTTTACAAATTATACCGTTACTATTGGTTTAGTCTAGGGGAGCCACCAACGCTATTCCAGTTATTAACCAATTATTTTGTTGAAAGATTGATAGGCTTCTTCGGCACAGTAGGTTTTATTTTGACTATTTTAGGTCCAATTACATTGGGAAATTTTGTAGGATTAATTTCATTTGCTCGTCTCGAGAATGAAATTAAAGTAATTATAATTTGATAAGGATCCTTACGTTCGTAAAGATCTATTGTTTGGAAGATTTCATCATGAGATATGCCAATTATTTCGCATGTCTTTAAAAAGAACGAAATGTTTTCCATTTGCACAAAGGGCATTTTGGAACTTTTGTATTTCGAACAAGGATTATTAGGTATTTCTAAGAATTTGCCGAGCTTGCATAGTAATTCACCATCCTTTAGAATATCAATAAGATCTAGGCTGCGGCTTGAATATTCGTCAATGGTCAGTTGGGGAGTTGACAATACACTGAAAATCCACTGTTTGACCTCTGGCTCGCTTTTGGTGTATTTTTGATGTCTTGAATTCGTTAGATCTTGATCTAAGTTTGTGTTTGCATTCTGTTCTCGTTTCTGTTCATATCTGTTATAATTGAGGTAGTTCATGATGTATTTGCTATTAATTTTGCTGGTCAAAATATATTTGTATTTGCCAGCGATTATTTAGCTCAGTTAAATTTGGTTCGCACTAAGGAATTGATCTACTAAAATCTCATAAAATATTACTTTATATTCGATAAAAACTACATAGTTACAATTAGTTATGTAATCTCTTTTCGTAAGAGTGTAAGCCATGGACGCCACCTTCGAATTGAGCGGAAGCAGTTCTGAATTCAAATCTAACTTCACCGTTATCAACTCTAGCTCTTAATTCGTCTAAAGATGGGGTACCAATATCTTGCAAAGAATGTTGCAAGCCATTATATAAGTATGGAACAAATTTGGTAATTGAACCCTTGTCAACAACGGCACCAGAAACACCTTGAGCGACAAATACCTTATCAGACTCAGAGAAATAACGGGAAGTAGAAGCATTGGCGGTAGTAGAGGTTTGTTGCATAGCATCAACAGAACCCATACCACGGTAAGACTTTAATCTCTTACCATCAGTGTAAAAATAGCTACCTGGTGTTTCAGAAGTACCAGCTAATAAACCACCCATCATAACACAGGATGCACCTAAAGCTAAAGCCTTAGTGATGTGACCAATATTACCAATACCACCGTCAGCGATACATGGGACACCAAATTGGTTAGCGAATTCAGTGACATTGTAAACAGCAGTTCCTTGTGGTCTACCACAAGCCATGACTTCTTGGGTAATACAGATAGAACCGGAACCCATACCGATTCTTAAACCGTCAGCACCAGCTTCGATTAATAAAGCCGCTTGTTCTCTAGTTACAACATTACCTGCAATAACTTGTAATTCTGGGAATTTAGATTTGATCCATTTGATCATATCTAATTGGAAAACAGAAGAACCATTTGACGAGTCAACAACTACGACGTCTAAACCAGCTGCAACTAATTTCTCTAATCTTTCTCTGTCATTTGGAACAGTACCAATAGCAGCACCACATAACAATTGCTTCGAATCGAAAGACTTAGAAGCTAAAGGATAACTTTGATTCTTTTGCAAGTCAGTTAAAGAGATCAAAGAAACTAAGTTACCATTTGCATCAATGATTGGTAACTTACCTTTCTTAGAAGATCTTAATAACTCATTACCTTCAGATAAATCAATACCCTTCTTACCGGTAATTAATTCAGTGGTCATAATTTCAGAGACCTTGGAATCGTTATTGTCGTGGAATTGAACATCTCTCGAGGTGACAATACCAACTAATTTACCACCAATTTTACCATTTTCTAGAAAAGTTAGTAATAAACTCACAATATTTTATAATCTGCTTTTGATTTCATCGAATTTATGGTCAGTGAATCAATTTCTCCACAACATCGTTTGATGTAAATCGGTAGAACGAAAGTTATTAATTTGAGTTGATCATCATGGTAAATATGCAATTAAGAGGATAAAAATAATAATGAAATGAAATCTTCCGCAGGATATTGAATTAATACATACCAGTCACTGGGAACGAAGTGAAACCTAATTCAGCCTTCATCTTTCTAACGTCTCCAACAGTTTCATTTGGAGAAATGACAAATGGGTCATTGATAAACCCATTTTCGTACTTCTTGACTTTTCTGACCATTTCTGCTTGCTCATCGGCACTACAGTTGTGGTGAATAATACCAATTCCCCCTAACAAAGCCATATGAATAGCCATGTTTTCTTCAGTAACGGTATCCATAGGAGAAGAAACGAATGGAGATCTTAACGCGATCTTCTTAGTTAACTTAGTATCCAATCCAACCTTTGAAGAAGGAAAGTCAATCAAGCCTGGTAAAACCAAAAAATCATTGTAAGTTAAACCACCAAAGTTCGCAGAATCGATTAATGTCTTGACATCTAATCCATCCTTATTAGAATAGGATTTTAAGTGGGAAGTAGCAGAAGAAGCGTCTAAAACCATTGCTCTATTTTTTTATTGTATTATTTGTATAAATAACAGGGCAAACTTTGCCAAAAAAAAAAGAATTAAAAGATTAGAAATCTCAGGAATTCATAATCAATTTATATGGTTGATTCCGATGAGATAAAAATTTTCGGAGTGAGTAGAACCGGGGCTCAAACCAATAAACCACTCGACAACAAGAGATAGGGTTTACTACAGTAATATAATAAACACAGTCATTGCCTACAAATAAATATGGCTGTACTTTAGTATTCTGATGGCATGATGTATAGAATATAGATTCTAGTGACCAAGGTATTTTCTCTTTTAGTTTGAGTCTTGTTTGCTATTACTAAGATATGGGTGCAACAATTTTGCTAATTAAGTAAGAGAAGAGTCAAACACAGGTCAGATAATAAATTACTTGTCTACCTACAGGTAAATAAATGGTGCGAGAATTTATGTATTATTTGGTTGAGTATATAATATTCTAAAACGAGGTTAGTAAGGATGCCTTGTAATTCTTAGTACTCAATGGGTAATATAGAATAATGTCAGAGTAGCGGTTCTTGGAATAATCTTCATGAATGATCAAGACCATCGACCAATCGAAACCGATCAATGGCGGGACAAGAAATCATCATAAAATTCTATATTACATTGAAATTATGTAGAGTAGTATCTCTAGAGTAACATACAATTTAGTTATAGATCTTGCATAAGAAAGACTTAATTCTGTGAAAAATTCTTAGTCCCAAATATATATAGTGTATGTGTTTGCCGGGTAACACCAACCCAGTAAGACATTAAGAGAGAATAGGCTTTGGAATTCAAGTCCAATATTATGGTACGAATCATCACAGAAGTATCGATGTATAAAATGTAGTCGTAGACAAATTTGGAACTGGTACATAAATAAATCTAAACTAATAAAAAAGTAAACTAAAAACCTAAAAGGTCACTAAATAAAAGTAAAATAAAGATAAACAACATTTATCGACTAAATGTGTTGTAAAAATAATTGAACATAATGAGCTACCGATCCTTGATATTATTTATATATGATTTTAAATAATAAAGTAATCTTAATGACTTGCAACACTTGCGCCATTGTCATTTGAGTTTTTGCCTGATAATGCCAGGCTCGATTGTTGCAATCTTAACAGGTTTACGTATTCTTCAACCCTTTTCCAGCCATCTTTCCTTGCAACCTCTCTTGCTCTTTGCTCCTCTAATGATTGATGGTATAACATAGTACAATGGTCATATAATATAGGGTTGTGGTCCATAAACACCTTCAAAGCCCCAAATGCTAACAGATGAATACTTCTATTCCAATTAGAAGTAGCCGAGTTATGTGGTGGTATTTGGTTTGGAGGGCCAAATTCATCAATATCACCTTGAACCTGTTGCGGTGATGAAAATGAATCATAATACTCTTCGTCTGTGATGTCATGCATATTAGGGTTCAATGAATCGTTCACATTTGTATTGTGATCAATTGAATGGTTATTCAAGTCATTTAATATCAATCCACGATCAATCAAATTACCGTTTGCATCAGTAGGTGATCCTGGATTCTCTAATAATCTTTGCTGAACCGTACCGTTTGTTATACCTGGCTGGGTTGCATTTGTTAGTTCATATAATGATGCAAAGATAATCGGTAATACCACCTCTGCATTTTCTGTGATTAAAGTCAAAAAGTATTCGTTCGTCCAGTAACACAAAACTTTCTCACTTACTTGGAAATGTGGAGATGAAATACACTTCAGCAATTGGGCAAATAATGGTATTTGAATCTTGAGGAATTCATTTGGTTCCATAACTTCAAAAATATCCTCAATCTCATTCAAAAACATTACTTCCTTAGGCGAATTAATCTTTGGCCAAAACCTTAGCAATCCCATTATGACATCCTCCGTCAACATGGGGTCCTTTTCTAAGAATTGAACTATACAATACGCCAACTGTGGATGATATAACGACAAACTTTTTACTTTATGTAAGGGAATTAGAATTCGAACTAAGAAAATCTTGTGTTCATCTTTTAATGGCAATGCAAAACCATTAATAATTGACCCCAAAATTTCTAATAACTCTCCGATACCATTGAATCTTTCGGTTTCATAAACGAATTGCAAAAACACATTATTGATCGATTTTCTGATGAACGATCTTAAGCTCAAAAACTTACCATATATTCTATGTAACGTAGTTTTCAAACAATCCCTCTCTCTAGGATCCTCACTATCAAACAATTCGAGTATTTTCAAAATAAATTCGTGATCAATATATTGCTTAGCAATTTGATGAGTGAAATCAGGACTTTCGATAAAGCGTAAGAAAAATTCATAAATTGCTTGCATATGAGGCCATGCTAATTCACTTACAGGTTCATCTTCATCAGGATCATAAATATCACCAATTGGATTAACAGGTGGAGGAATGGGTCTGAATAGATTCTTCTTGAACATATCAACCACATGTTTATACATTTCATCAGTGTAAGTAAATCTATTGTTCAGAATAAAATGAATCAATTCTTGCAATGTAATCCTTTTAATTTCTTTCCCTCTAGCATCATAGGTAGGGTCACTGAAATCAAACATTATATTACATTGGTCAATCTTTTGAATAAATAATGAAATTTGTTCTTCAGGCAAAATTTCATCGAAGTTTGGTAATTTGACAATTTCTTGGTACCTATCTGACGTAGATGGCTCAAATCGAGAAGAAGAATGTCTTTTTGGGGTGACTATCAAATCGATATCAAAATTATCCCTTGTTGGAGACAGGATATTCGTATTAAGGGGATAGCCATGGGGGTGAATAGCCGAGCCAGTCTGTGAATGTGGAACATGACCAGGCTTAATTTGAACTTGATCAAATGGTGAATTTGATACATTTGGTGAAGTGTTCTTTACAATTGTAGGTGATGTAGGGGTTGGCGTTACAGGCTGAGTATTTGAACCAGCTGTTGTCACCATCGTTGGAGAATCATTGTTTTCACTATCATTTATAACAATCCTTGGTGAATCTTGTTGAGATTGATTTGGCAGTTGAGGCAGATGTGACGTTTGTCCCGTAGCAGCAGCTGACCCCCCACTACTGCTTGACTTTATCGAATTACCACTATTATGTCTAGAAATAGATGGAGAGCTAGACTTTGCATTAGATCCCGACCCAGAAAGTTTCGACGCAATAGAGGATGAGCTGGAAGCTTTCCTTGAAGTAGAATCAGACTTCGAGTCCTTGTCCTTATCTAATTTTTTTTCACCTTTTTTACTTGTCGACTGACTTTTATTTCTTGAAAGTCTGTTTTTAAAGCCTTTCATCATTTTGGGTTAACAAACTAAGTAAGCTTCTATCAAGATTGATTCACGTTGAAATAGAACTAAACTCCAGAAGCCAAAAACTAATAAATGCTAATGTATGCGAATTGGTGATATCGGAGCACTGATATGCTATGTGTCACAACTATGAATGTAGATAGCAATATACCAAACTTGATCAGGTTAGGAATTAGATAATGTTATATGTTGAATAAAAAGTTGATTAACTTAACACCCAGACGATCTCTGATATTAGATTACTTCAACCTGGAAATTGGAGAATTACAATCTCAAATATGGACGTAACAATAGAACCCCAAATATATTATAAGAAGTTGAAATTCAAATTGAATACTTTGATTGATAATATTCAATGTACCTATCAATGATTCAATTAAACTTCAATATGTTAGTTGAAACAAATTATGCCAATACTTGAAGTATACTTGTTATTCTAAGGGCTTTCGAATTCGCTCTTATTGTGATTATTTTGTGAGGGTCACGACTTTACTACTACTACACGACTACACGCTAATGTAGGCAGTTATGGTTAAATGATAGTTCTACATGAAGTTCTAAGTATATTAAGACGATATTGTGTATTGATATGACTCGTATAACCAGGCCATTCGAGTTTTGAAATAAACGATAGATTTTAAATTAAAATTTCATCTTTATCGACATCCGTTACATTCTCAATCATGGAATCATGTTTATGATTAAGAACGGAACTTAAGTAGCAGTTCCACCCGATACTGAATATATTAACAGCTAACAACCTGAATTGAACGGGAATCAAAGCGAAGTTGAAAAGCTGGAAAGTAGGCCATACTACCCAATTAGTCTTTAGGGTGTTAAACCAATGTGCATGTAATTTTTCACGGGCAACCTGCAATGGATTGTCATGGAACTCCAATACCGACATCACGGAATAATATAGCGGTATCCCTATGAATGGGGCAAATACCAATTGATCTACCCCGACCTTGGTCAATGTGTTCAACACTTTGCTAACCCTTGGGGATACCTTAGTCTTCGGAAAAGGGAAATTGATTTTATGAAGAAGCCTATACCACTTATCACCAATTGGAGCAAATATGATTGATCCGTAAAAAGTTGCTCTTAATGTTCTCTTGTAGTCGTATTTGTTTGACGTAGGGTACAAGGTCTGAGCCAAATAATCACCAGACCCAAAAAGAAATCCTGTTGTGATGATATTCGTGATAAGTGGGCGCTTGGCTATCAATTGACTGTATTTTTGGTATATAGATGCCATATTATGTTAGAATAAAACTAACAATTTGGTTTGAAAATCATTAGGACCCAAGTTATGGTGGACTTCCTGGCCGATAAGGATGGGGGTACTGCACATTGTTTTGAAGTTTTTTTTAGTTCTGTCTTAGACATTATTCTTACAATCATACCTACTAGACAGAAGTGATAAAAATTGACAAGCCATTGGAAATTAGGATGTTGTCCTTTTTGAAAGTTCGTTTGAACTATTTCACATGAGAATTATAGGTGCTCTCTAAAAGTTTGCATACTTAATTACTGCAAATAAAGGGTACCTGGTACTAATCCGAAGAGCAAACCCCCGTATTACAAAGATCCCATCCAGGCTATAAGATTATCTTATTAATTAATAAATATATTGCAACTAGAATAATTGTCTATAATCTAAAA